CGGCAGAGCTGCATACAAATGTCAGCGCAGTTGTTCAAATTTGCATTTGTTGTCAGACAGTTTGAGCTACTTTTCGGAATTTTGAGAGATGTAGGCCCGACTCTATTTAAATGGATGAACATTTTTTAGTTTTATGCCTTACCCAAACTATAAAAATACATATAAATGCATTTAGATCATTTACTTTAATCATTACTATTGGAATGTGAAGAGACTTTCAACCAGCACAACAACAAACGTTTCTGAAGACAATCACCTACTGCACCTTTAAGATCAGGTGTCAAATGCCAATGAAAAAAAAAAGAGTTTTAAGAGCTGATTTAATTGAGAACATGGACAAGGCCTGTCTAATAGGCAGCAGCACATCATTCCAAAGTCTAGAACCTACCACAGCAAAAGCACGATCCCTTCTAAGCTTACGCTTCATTTTTGGCACAATCAGGAGAAGCTGATCAGCTGACGTGAGAGAAAAAAGTGGGCTTATAGGGATGTATCAGCTGAGAGATATAAGGTGGGGCAAAACCATTTAGAGATTTAAAAAACAAATAAAAGATTCTAAAACTGTTTTCTAAAATTAACTGGCACTAATTAATTAATTTATTTATTTAATTTTGCCCCATTTACAATCGGGCAATAGCTGACCTGCTACTCCCCACATACAGTGCATTACAGTAATCTAACCGAGTGGTCATAAAAGCATGGGTTACCGTCTCAAACTGTTGTTTTGGTATTTATTGCTTTTTTTTTGCTTGTTGTCTTAATTTAAAAAAGCTAGATTTGTCATAGTGGATTGAAATGACACACGGCTTAGTAATTAATTAAAGAATTTTCATTTTTGCTAATCATCACTAATCATTTAAGAACATTTATTTAAACATCTTTTTTTTTTTTTTTTTACAATCTTGCATCACCCTTACATTTGAAAATGGGTTTATGGATTGCAAACTGTCTAAGAACACTGAACAGCACGTTCTACACCTTGTTGCAACATACGTCATCACTGCCTGACTCACTCCAATAAACAAAACACACATATGCAAAACCTGTCCGATAAACATGTGCAGGTATGCTGTATTGGTCACACTGACACAAATCCTCAATCAGTTTAGACATACCTGACGCACTCGCACACCCTTACTGCAAACACAGCGAGTTTAAATAAAAGCTGAGGGCTTTTTGTGTGACTCCTGGAAGCAGAAGGAATTTTCTAAAAGAAGCATGGTACTTTAGATCCTCAGTGTTGGCTTTGTTGACATTGGAGAGTGTGTGATGCTTCTGTTCTTGTGCTCTCATACATTAGAAATACATTACCACAACCGCACAAAGTGCCCTAATAAGGGGGTGAAAAGCACTTCCATAGAACACAACGTTTAGACACGTCTGTATCTGTGATATGTCAAACTGCCATTGTAATAACAAACAACCGCATTCACTTTGCTCTATGGTCTTGCCAACGATTAATCACAGCTACACAACACAGAACTGAAGAGGGTGTGAAACACTTAGGTGAGCAACAATCTTTAGGTTGGTTTGTCAGATGTGTTTGGCACAGCCATTACTTTTTTTGGAGCTGTGAGGATTTGAGCAACTCTAGAAATACAGAGATGAAACTTTTGAAATGTCTAATCACAAATTAAAGCCCAACCAATGACTGCGAAATTAAAACTGATAAGCAGAAATAAGAGAACAATGCACCAATTTCTGAAATCCATAATCCATTGTGATTTAACTCAAACTTTGCAATCAGATTCACTGCGCATTTAAGAGTGAGTTCCCACTTGTAGTTTGGGTTCGACCAAAAAAAAAAAAAAAAGAAAAGAAATAGAGATACATTTAGTTTAAATTAATTTTAAAGAATATGTACGGTTTGCGATTGAATTTATCCAACATCCAAAAAAAATCTAATAAAATAAAATTGTATTATGCTGTGCTGTGTGTGTGGACTACACACATTCATTGTATGTGCTGAGAGAGAATTTAAATATTTAACAGGGTCAGAACAACTTTAGGATTGACTCATTTACACAAATAAATGAAGATTAGGTGAAGAAATATGCATTTCTGTTGGCTGACGCTGCTTCAAGTTATCACGCAAACACATTTAAAAAACGTGCTGCATTTTCACACCACGCAAACAATTGAATAAAAAGCGCCGCATATACTCACAATGCAAACATTTACAAAAACACGCTGCATTTTCTCTTTCAAGAGGACCCAAAAATGAACGCCACTGTGCCGTGAGTATTGCTCAGTGAAGTTGTACTGTAGGTGATCTTTAAAAGGTGAGTTTTTTGTTTGCTTATTTCAACATCCTTTTGTAAGCCTGTAACCATAACCTAAATAACTAGATCCGTCATGTTTTAGAGCCCCGTTGAAACATTTCTGTTGTGTTCTTTGCTATTTGAAGGTGTTGTGAGAAAATGCAGTGCGTTTTATTAATTTGTTTGCGTTGTGTGAAAATGCAGCATGTTTTTTTAAAATTGTCGAAATATTTAGTAAAATTCTCCACTCCATCAGTCCATAATATGTGCAGATTGATAAAAGATAAAACAGATGTACGGTATATGTAGTTTTAGTCTTTAAGTGTTTTTTTCAGACATGAAAAACATGTCATGTCTACCTCCACTTTCAGATTTAAGATCCAATCTCAAATCAAGTAAGGCGTTTACAAGCATTGCTACAAACTTTTGAATTGTTTGGGTGAATGTAAATAAAATGGATAGTCCACCTTAAATTTTAAATGTACCCACTGTTTACTCTGTTAATTTTTTCTTATGTTAAAAACAAATGAGGGCACTGTATGCTGAAGAAAGCTGAAAACCCAAAACAACTGGCTTTTATATTAGGAAAAAAAAATACTATGAAAGTCGATGGTTACAGCTTTCTTCAAAATTTCTTTTTCTGTGTTTAACAAAAGAAAAAAAAACTGGTGGTTCATTCCACTGTAGCGACCCCTAAGGGATTAAGCCGAAGGAAAATGAATGAATGAAAAACAATAAAGAGTAACTATCCCATTAAGCTATTGATGGTCAAGATTCATGTAGGCATATGCTGATATTCAGCAATTGAACATTTTTATAATGAACATGTATGAAATTGATATCGTGAACACTTCAAAATACCATCAATAAATATTAATGAAACTTTTAGTGCTTCTTAAGAATATTCACATTGTATTTGCACAGTGCCAAACGCTTGGAAACGTAATTCATTCGTTCATTTTCTTTCAGCTTAGTCTCTACTTTAGAGGCCACTACAGACAATTTAATTTATTTACTTCACCTATAGCGCTTGTCCATGGACTGTGGGGGACACTGGAGGAAACTTACGCTAACATACAGAGAACATGCAAACTTCACATTCAAATGCCAACTGACACAGCAGAACTCAAACCAGCAACCTTCTTGCTGTGAATCGACAGTGCTAACCAATGAGCCACTGTGCTGCATGGAAATGTAATTAGTTATTTTAATAATTCAATCACTAACATTTTGACATGTTTATCTGATCCACCATATGCTGGATATCGATTGAAAATTCAGACTATTTAATGGCCTATTGTATATTAAAACTGTGCAGTAAGGCTCTAATAGTTCATTTAACTAAACATGAAAAGCTTTTTTTTATTCTTAGTGGGTTTATTTTTATTTGTCATTGCCTATTAATGTGTAATCTGATTACATATTGTAATTGTTTTATTAAACTGCATTACCAACTAAATTCAGTAGAATTTTTGTAACTATTATTTACATAGTAACAGTAATAAGTCAGACCTTCACTCAGTCATTAACTGAGTCGTTAACATTTAACCATTGTCATATATATATATATATATATATATATATATATATATATATATATATATATATATATATATATATATATATATAATTATAATTATATAAATATAATCACAACAAGAAAATCTGATACCACCATCAGCCTAGATTTGGCATTTTTGATTGAAATGCAGCTTGAAGAAATAATTTTTGTAGATACAGGTCTATCAATCACAACCAAATCTGAATCACTGGCAAAGTCAAGTGGAAATAGTTTTGACACCGCATTGTAACTCAAAGCAGTCTGTGGTCAGAGGCATCTTTCTCCGAAAACAAAATCTCCAAAATTTAACCACACACGCATGACAGCTATAACGCACACGGTGACAGAGCAATATTTTTGCCTAATAGCTCTACATTCCACAGACATTCACTTAGAGCAAAACGTGAATGAATGCAGTTCAAGCTGTACTTCAACTAAGCATGGCTTCTGGCAAGCCATCTGATGTACTGGCCCCTGTAGGTCGAGGACCTCATCCTGAGCTGCTGATCCCTGCACTGCACAGCGGCTTCAAGACGACACTATCAGAATCAGTAAAAACCTGTTTCAGCTGTCAAATGCCTGGAATTAAACATTTTAGTCCTCAAACAATCAGTGCTGACATCAAATAAACCAGCATGAAGTTGATCCAGTGAAATGTAATATGATATTCATCAGCATTAAAGCAGATAAGTGGATTGATAAACAGCAATAATTTATAAAACAGGCACACAGTGTCCTTGTGGTTTTAACTAAGGTTTACAGTGCTATTTATGAACAAATTTGAGGGTTATGTTTATTTATTTTTTATGGAAGGACTGTGAACAAATAAAACACATCCGTTTTACAAGAACTCATGAGGGTTCAAAGCAAAAGTTCAGGTTCAAAGTCCAAAGAGAGTGAAAATTATGGTAGAACAAATACAAATATAACGCAACAACAATTCCATTTCATATATCACATATATCCATGTTGCTATCAAAATGCCTCAACAAAGAATAAAAACAAAATTAAAATATTACATGGCAGAGACAAAATAAATACAAAATAGAAGGTAATTAATTTCAGAGCTTAATATGAACTACTATCATCAACAAGCAAAACATATCAACAACAATCATAAGACGATAATAATGTAAGATTACTTAAAATAATACTAATAATAATTAAAATAATTTTACCTTTATGTTACAAAACAACGATGGCTTGGGTTTCTTGATGTCTTTGGCGTATATGTCCATGTCTTCCAATGCAAGGTACAGTTGGTTGAGCTTGTTTCTACAAAGATGAATAAAACAAGTTTCCACTCCGGTGATCGTCTATGGGGGATTATATGACCATTATCAGTGATGTCATGAGTTCCCGCCCAGAACTCGTCGACCCCGCCCCACCAGTCCACGCGCGATTGTTTTGGTGATCATTATCTTTCTCTCCAAAATGACAGAAGCGGATTATATTTCTTCTTATAACACGGGCTTTCTCCACTCCCGGTAAGGAACATGTGCAAACCCGTACCATAAACACTGTAAATCATTTATCTAGGTTCAGTTTAATGCCAGAGAGAGAGAGAGAGAGAGAGAGAGAGAGAGAGAGAGAGAAAGAGAGAGAGAGAGAGAGAGAGAGAGAGAGAGAGAGAGAGAGAGAGAGAGAGAGAGAGAGAGAGAGAGAGAGTACTATTACTTTTCTGCGCATGGCTTGAACTCACTGGATAGGGTTTTTTCGTTACTCATATTTTTAAAAACAAATGTTATCTACATAAATAATATCTTATTTTACAGTAATTTGGATCGATAAATAAGTACACTGTTATCCCTAAAGTTGTATTAATTCAAAATACTTAGATTCAATAAACATAAAAAACAACTTTTTTGCTTAGTTATCCATTTTGTTTAGTTTATTGTACGATTTGCATGATATTTTTGATTCTACTGGAATGTTCAAATTGAATGTACTTAACAAAGCTTATTTTAGTCTATTGGTAAAGGAGTGATGTGCAAGGGGAAATGTGATTGGCTCTTTGTCTTTGGACTGACGTCACTGGTGAATACAGCGTGAGCGCGCATTTTCTAATGGCTGCTGATCACTGTGAGTACGATTTCATACTTTTGTCTCAAACAGTCCACATTGTTTTCCTTTAATAAACAAAGTATGTAACCGTTAGCAAGAAAACCACATGTAAGATTAAGCTGTGTCTGACGTTAGGATCATGTTATTGTTCCGGTCAATCGCAACCGCCATTGCCACATTTATTAACAGTTCTAAGACGTGAAAAGTGCAAAGACGTGCGTAATAGGATCATGATAGATCATATATTATGTAAAAAAAAAAAGTTAATGTAAGTTTTGCCTGTGTTAGCGTATTCATTTATGCCACGTATAACCGATCACGGCCGCCGCATTTCATCTATATAATTCGTTACAGTTACTGTACGTGGAAACATGCTTTATGAGGTCGTCACGTATAAAGTTTAATATTGATGCTGTATTCGATGAGTCATCCGCGTTATCTTTTGTGTAAACTGATTATTTTTTCAGTGGTGGTTATGTGTCGTCAGATGTTTAGCATAACATAACCTGAGCTGTTTTTACCATTTTTTTTTTACTTTTTTTTTTCTTGTAAGTGAAGTATTAACTGACTAGAATACATTGAGATTTGCCCCTTCGGAAATACGAATTCATGTTAGTTGGCAGTTTTTAAAGATATGCAACCTCGTGCTCATCAGTCTTAGCAAGTGAATTTTCAGTTAATTAGAATGAAAGCTAAATAATTAACTGTAGCTCTCTAATTCTTTTGATTAACAATAGCTGTTTGTGGGAAATTTGGAGATAACAGATCAAATTATGTAAATGTGTTTTGTCAGCTAGTAATCTAATGTATATTTTTGTAACTGTAGATTGCAGAAAGATCAAAGCAAGGCCAACCAGGATGAGATGAAAATGTAAGTATTGCTCATTTGCTTGTGACAAAAGATGGTACTTATTAAAACATTGCAGATTTAAACATGGGAGCTATGCAAAAAGCCAGCCATTTCCATGCATATATCAGGAATGTGTTTGTAATGAAATGAGTACAGTATTGATAAACATGATAACATGCTAATTTGACAGTTGTTTAATTTTGACATTTCTCTGATGTTAATAAACTTTTTTGTGTTTTACTACTACAGGTGTATCAAGAGTTCAACCAGATAGTGTGGAAGAATCTTAAGCAAGAATTATATTGGTCTCTTGATCATCACTGCCCACAGCTGATTCAGATCTTCAGGTCAAAGAGAGGATTCACTGGACAGATTTTTATCTTCTACAAAATATCAAGGTTTGTGTATGCCATTGTTTGTACATGCCTTTGACATAAATTGATGCCATTGTGTGCTGAATTCTGAAATTTATATAATTACTTTAGAAATCCTCAGTGACAGAGACTAAATTTTAATACATGGAAATGCCCTTTCTCTCATGTTGACAAATGATACAATGTTGTTTCTCTGCAACACCTCAGGCGTCTGACCTCACTGACATGCCATGTGTTGCCATTTGAGTGCTTCCAGTAGTTGTTGGTGATGACCCAACAGTTCTTCAAAGCATGTTTTGTAAGTATCCTTAATAAAAGTTTTTGTATATTAATCTAAGTTTTTTTGCATTATATTTCTTAATGTGCATTTATGTTAGCAATAACAATAAATAAATCACCCAAGCAATGTCTTATTGTAGTTCATTAATAAATAGAATAATGATCAACATGAAATTTGAATTCATGTTATAACTTCTTTGAAACTCTAAAATGATAAGTAGAATTATATAAAGTCTTTAGTAATTTAATTATATCAAATCTTTTTATGCCGTATGCATTGACTTGTATACAAAAATATTTGTATTATTTTTATATTTGATATATCATTGAATACTGGATATGTTTGGGTATACAATTAACAAATTATGCTTGCATACAACTAAAAAACATTACATACAAATAATATATATTAAAATCAAATGTACACCTCTAAGATATATTTATGTTATCTATTTATTGTTGTCAGGCTTCAGATGATGGAGACTCAAATCAACATGTGCCCGTTGGAATTCTTAACCAAGAAAATTAAGATGTGGCTCTGCAACCCCTGTCCTTCCACCTCCACCCATTCTCTGGGAATCATCTTGGAGGGAAATGTTGTAATGGACAATATAGACAATATACCCCAGGCCAAGTGTCTTTTTGGATCAACCTATGCACTGCACCTAGGCTACACAAAATGCATGGACAATACCCTTCTTTTTATTCAACAAGTTTGGGTAAGAAGATGCTGAAGGGTAACATTCTGGCTGTTAAAAATCAACTTGTCATGTAAACTGGTACAGAAAAGGCATGTTCCTTCAGGCTTGCTGTCCTAACTGTGAGATAAAAAAAATTAAAACTATGCTTTAGTGTTTGGCAAGTGTAAATATTCCATAATGTTAAAATGTAATAACATCCTGTGGTTGTTTATTTTTTAGATATGTTTGTAAAAATGTATTTAAAAATTTTAAACAAGTGTTTTAATAAGATTTATAACAATAAATATTGACTAATTGTTATACAAGGCATTTTCTAGTTTTGTCACTTGTTTCGGAGTGATATTTCTAAATGATTTTAAATAAACTGTAAAGTAAATTTTTATTCTTTGTCCTTGTTTGTAATTAGGGGTATTTTCATTAAATCATTTATTGTGAATAGCTAAGGTTAAAATTATTTCTGTCATAACATTCAGGTCAAGATTTTATGTTTTAAGTTTATACAGGTTGATTGAACTTAAAAAATTTATGGAAACTCGCTGCCCTAAAAAAGCTAATTTCGTCTTGTTGAAAAAACAATACTTTTTAGGTTTATTGTACCTAAGATTTAAATATTGTTGTACTAAAAACCTTTATTTCAGTCAACTAAATATTTAATTAAATGCATTTGAAATCTTAAGTACAATAAACTTAAAAAGTGTTGTTTTTTCAACGAGACGAAATTAGCTTTTTTAGGGCAGCGGGTTTCCATAAATTTTTTAAGTTCAATCAACCTGTCCGGGCTTACAGTGTATAGTACGTAGAAAGAAAGGCTAACTTATAAAAATACTATACTATAAATAGGCTGTTATACTAGTAAATATTGTAAGGTAAATTCAGGTCGATGAATTTACTTTTCCTTGGTTATCTTAATGGCAAAAAGTGTCCAAATTAACCTAAATTCACCCTGCTTTAATGTTTACTACAGTAATCATTTGTGTAGTACATACCCTAGTTGTAGAAAACTATACAATTAGGTAATTTGTTTATATTACTATACTTGTTTCACCACAGCAGATTAATTCAAGTACTTTAATATAGCACTGCTTTAAAACAATATATAGTATTCACTACAGTATTTTTAATGTAATGGCAAGTAGAAATTGCTTTAAAATGATTTAAAAGTACTTCTGAGTGTATTAGATTGCATTATCTTTCATATTACAATCAGTGCAAAAGTAAAATTGTAAATGATTACTTCTGTTAATATGGGAAGGTAGCAGCCTGCACAGTACATCTTTATATTAATTCAAATAAAATGTACAGATGATAAACCTGAGACAAAATAAAGGGTATGATTATTATAAAATAAAGTCCTACTGTATATTTGTGCTTGTACAGACAACTGTTGACAGTAGGGCTGCTTAAATTAATTTGCATGCCAAGATCATTTATTTCTCTCTGAAGGATTTGAGCTTTACATGATTCGGTGAGTCAAGGATTTTTTTTTCACTGCTTCAAACCATGCTTTAACAGCACTTGAAGTCACACACAATGAATTTCGCAGATATTACAGGCAGACTCTGACAGCATAAGTGATTTACAAAGACATTGCAAAGCACATTGAAAGCTCTGAAGGTAAATGCTGCAAGGCTCTGTGAGCACATACGTAACTGAACCTTAAAGAGCAGTTATGACCAAATCAAAGTTCAATACTCCTCTATGCCTGCTGCGTCATACTGATGATCATGGCCTGAGCCCTTGCCCAGCACTGGACTCTCAGGTCAAAGTCTTACAGCCTGACAAAAAGCATTAACAGATTTTCTGCACATCATGCAACATTGAAAACTATTCTTTAAATGAACCCTTTCCCTTTTAATCTTTTAAACTTCTGCTCATGCTATTTGTCAGCTCTGTATAGTCCTTGGAAATGATTGCAGTCTGGCACAAGAGACTTCACTCAAGAGGCCGTAAATGTTACATCACCTATGCTATGCCTCATTGTAGTAAATTGTTGTAACATTGTTCTTTTTCTGACAAGTTTCCAAGAAGTGCGCAAAGGCTGCTATTATGACAGAGTGGTTCTCTTAAAAGCATAGTTTACAGAAAACAAAAGTTGATATTTACCTCCTAATGTAGTTCCAAACAAGTACTTTTTTTTTTAAATGTGGAACTCGATCGATTGATCTAGTTAGTTAGTTATGGCTGGGCCAGTTGGCATTTCTGTGTGGAGTTTGCATGTGTTCAGGTGAATTGAATAAACTAAATTGGCCATAGATTATGTGTGTGTGTGTGTGTGTGTGTGTGTGTATGGATGTTTTCCAGTATTGTGTTACAGCTAGAAGGGCATCCGCTGTGTAAAACGTATGCTGGATAAGTTGGCGGTTCATTCCACTGTGGTGACCCCTGATGAATAAAGGGACTAAGCTGACGCAAAATGAATGAATGTATAAGTAAATGTGTGTGTTAATATTTTACGATTACAATAATTCCATAAAAATAATTCAGTGAGGGCCAATGTTGCCTGGGCTCCATAATTTCTTATACATTTTTTTGTGATCTAGAATGTTAGTTGTAATAAAGGGATAGTTTTACTCAACAATGAAAGATTCCTTACCATTTACACACAGTCAAGTGGTTCTAATCTTTCATAAATTTCTTTATACTGTTGAACACAAAACAATACATTATGAATAATGTTAGGAAAAAGTAGGCATTGACATCTATAGAATGTATAAAAAATATTATTGAAGTCAACTGCTGCTGCTGCTTGCCAACATTGGCAAAAAAAAAAATGTGCTCAACAAGAAAGAAACTTTGTGAACTGTGATATTCTTTTTTTTTTTTCAAATCTTTTATTTTTAAATGTTAACGATTACTTGTCCCTTTCCAAACAGCTACGACTGTAAAAATAGAAGATATTCTGATATAATGAAATGTAATATAATGAAGTCTGCTTAAATCTGATTGAGAGATTTCGTGCAGAGAATTACGAGGTGGCCTACAACACATTTTGTACCACCTTTGCCTTTTGACAAAAATCAGGCAGGCAGTCACAGTTCTCATCAGACCCTAAGTGATGCTCAAGCAATGCTCATGAATTCAATAACATTTAATGCTAGTCTTTTTTCAAACAAGAATGATTTACTTGATAAGATTACAAGAAATAATGAAAAATGTGTTTGTTTCAAATAGCATAAATTTCACGATCAGGATACCATCTTCGTTTCATTTTAAACCTGGAAAAACCCTGTAAATGTTAACTAAAATATGCATTTACAGAGCACGTCAAATATGGTAAGCGAAAGCTCAAAAGAACATTATTGAACAGCAGCATACAGTCGTGTGATGCACTTTTAAGCTTTTATGAGGACCAGTTATTTTTTGTTTGTTTGTTTCACACAAACAAGCAACACAAACGTATCCTCAATAATAATACCTTTATTTGTGTATTTTGGTTTTGGAATGTCATGAGGGTGAGTGTTGTGACATTTTTTTCTCATTCATTTAAGCGCAATTTAGTAGCCTGGTAAAAATTGCTGACATTAACAATATTTTAAACCCAAATTAGCAAATAATAGACATTTTTAATACAAATATCCTAGCATGGCATGTACCATGATGTTTCAGTGAGGTTTGCACCAGTTCTGGGTTTTAGGTACCATGAAGGTAACTCAGCTCAGCTGCTCCATTATAACATGGCAACAAAGAGGGATTAAAAAAGGTGCTTTCATTTTCTCTAAAACCCAGGATTGGTGCAAACTGAACTTTAACTGGCTAGCCAGCTAATCCAGCTTCATGGTACAGGGGCCCAGGTGATCAACTACATAAATCTAAGATACTTGTTTTTAAAAAAGCTTGCTGTTATACAATACCTGTACAAAAGGTTTACACTCACTATGGTGCCTGCTTTTGAAATCTTATGAAGAAAATAAATAAAGGAGTGGTTATGAGAATTCAGGTCAGGTACACAAGAGACATTCACTATCCTTAAGAAACATTAGCTATACATTTAATATCTGGAAGACACAAAGTAGAGGTCTCTGTCAGACAAAGTTCTTCGGAATGTAGTCAGATAGGCTTCTAAATACTTTGATTATTTAGTATGTATTACACCCAATCAAGCATGTTACAACCGAAGAGGAGAAAAGTATCTCTGAAAATATATCTTTCCCAGCCATTGTTCCAATATAACACTAACCACTTTCAGCCTTCAAAATAAATAATAAATACAACTTTCCATTACAGCATAACATAAAACTGAAAACAACTTTTACCCTGCAAGACATAAACAACAATAAATGAAGCTCAAGTCATAGCTTGAAACAATGCTAGCATTACTGTAGAATTATCATAAAATTAACACCCATAAATTGGTTTTACCATTCATCATATATTCAATTTTACGAATTATACATTGGCGATCAGTGGAGTCAAGTTTTTTTCAGGTATGTTGGTAATATACCTCAGTAAGCCAGTTTTATATATTTAATTCAGCTACTTACAATTTATTAATCAAACTAGTTGTGTTTTTAGTGTTTTGAGGAATATCAAGCGGTTCTCAATGACATTTGTGATCCATTAATTGGTGCTTTCCTGCACCTATTAATGGATGACCATGAAAGACATATTTTTTATTTTACTGTTTAACTTCCATGTGCCAGCCAATGTATAATAAAATACAAACTATGCATCTAGATTTACAGACACCTACAAACACCTTTAAAAAAAAAAAAAAAAAAAAAAAAAAAAACGTGTTTTAAGAACACTTGCGCTGCCTTGTTGTTGGTGCCCTAGATTTGCCCTAGATTTTTTTTGGTTGCAAACATGCATTCACAATGGTATGGACCATTATAGGGGTGGTAAAATGTATATTGAAGTTATTTATTATTTTATTTATTAATATGTGTTAAGATACAGATCAGAGCAAACTGTCAACTTTTTAAGGGCAGACTCGTCCATATATCTTGTTTTCATGTTCTTTGGGGTTGGGGGGTCAAGCATTAATTAGGGGAAACCCCCCTGTAATTCGCACCCTGCTTCTATGTAATGCATGGAAAATGACTGGTGCTAACTAAGCTACAAAATAACCATCATCATAGAACAAATAAGGATTGTACAAATTTGTAATCCTCCGACACACAAATTACTGATGACCTTTTGGCTGCTCTTTTTAGATAAACATTTGCACAATGTTATTAAGCATTAAAGTACAACACTTAAATCATCATACTAGAGTAGAGGCCAAAACAAAATGATGGTTTCAGCTTATCAGTAAAATAAAAGTGCTTTCATTGCATCACGCGGTGGAACAAAGTTTCTAGTGTCAAAAAAATGGATTTAGGGTACAAAAAACATTAAATTTTTTAAAAGGTTTTGCGAACAGATGACAAAACTGTCTGCAAAAGCTGCATTACACATGCCAGACTAGTAATTGGTGATTAAACGTATTAAAGAAACACTATGCTCCCTTACACATTGTTTGTCAAGTAATCCAGCATGACAAACAGTCACAATGTCCCTTTAAAATGTCACAGGTTTTTAACAAAATCACGTTTCTGTAGTCAATAATGGTATCACTTTCAAAAACATGTAAATGAACACCTAAAAGTGTTAAATCATGCATCAAAAGACACCAACAGCCAACACAGAGATCTCGTTTTATTTAGAGGCCTCATTTAATCGATAGGTATGAATTCAGTTTACACAAAAACCTTTTAAAAAAGTCAACATGCGGTGATCACAAGGATAGAAAGAAGAGCCTATAGATTCAGAACAAAAGATTGGAGAATGGTGTCTAGGCCATACATGTCAAATATTCACAGTGACTCATGTTTCTTTTCTTGTCCATGTATTCATACAGTTTTAAACGTACAAGGAAGGCATTGTTCTGACACAGAACAGTCAAACATCAAAAGCTTTAGGAATTTTGAAAAAAAAAAAAAAAAAAAAACCCTGTACCAAAGTCCAGTTGACTTGCAGGATCCCAACGCACTGCTCCACACCTCCACGACTATCTCATAATTTAAGGAGGTAAACCTGTAAGGACTCTATCATCTTTAGTTCCGAAAGGAAAAGCTGTCATTTATTTTACATCTAGTTTACGTACCAATTGCCGTGTCCTGGATGAGGCCTTTTTTTCAGTATATATTTAAGGAAGTGGAGACCTGTTCTCTCACAAAGTGGTCTAAAAAAACAAACAAATAAATGCAGGACATAACGCAGCGGAGATACGTTCCTCTCGCTGAAGTCTCTGAAAACATATTATGCACAAATTACTTCGAGCAATATTTTAAAATGTCCAAAAGGAAATTTCCAAACTTTTAGGTCAGTTTCTTGTCACTTCTATTGTTAGGAGGCATCTTTTGTGAAACAGCAGCTTCCTGTGGACACCCTAAAACCAGCATTCCAAACAAATCTGGCTGTTTGAGAATCAGAAATAGTCCTTGTTATTTCACACAGCTGTGATATACAAATGATACTGACCTCCGAAGCTACATCGTCCAAAACAAAAGCGCGTTTCATATCGCATGAAGTACAAACACTTTATAAAATGGCTAGTTTCGTATAAAGTAAGGCACTGCGTTTACTTTTATTCGCTGGAATAGTGCTGATCAACAACTCGGCTGGTTTGAGCCAGTTTACACGTAGGCCCCCAAAGCTGCGTGGAACTCGGTGAGGCATTGGACGAGCTGCTGGAATTTTGGTCTCTCTTCCGGATCCAAGGCCCAGCAACACGCCATCACTGCAAATCTGAAACGGAGAACATCCTCATATAAACAAAGCATTATGTTTTGTTTTGCTGTGGCAGATTTATCAGAGAATAAATAACTGGGTCCACAAGATGTATTGGTCTTGATTACGTTTGACAGCAACAATGGAGTGAAAGTTGAGATCACCTTATCACTCAGTTTCTATTCCAGCTTTCCAACACACAAGGCAAGCCGCAGAACACTTATTCATCGCTTGGTCTCTGGAGGGAAAGTGTGCTAAGCTACGATCCAACACTGATTAGCTTTTCCTGCGTCGTCTAAACTATGTTCCGGTGCTCACGCGCAAGACAATAAATCGTGCTCTGTTTGGGTCACTGACACGGTCAACAACACTTGTTGCTTTGTAATTCCTGGCCGGTTCAATCACCACGGCTCCGGTTGCCTAGCTATTGCAGGATGCCGATAAGGGTCAGATTGTGCAGGCAGCCAGCAGTTGTTGAACTTGGATCAATCTGTCCGTTTCATTTTCTAACAGTTGGGTTGGTTCCCTTACAAAGTAATCAAGACTTATGAAAGCTGTTACTGACACTTTGGGAGTCTTGCCAGTCACGCAGTAATGCAATAGTTTGTTCATTTTAAAATAATTGGCAATCCAGTACGTGCACACTAAGTTAAAAATTAAATTGTCATACTCACAGTTCATCGGGGCAGTTGATGGGTTGTGCTATTCTGTAGCCATCTTTTAGATAGGCGGCCATCTCGAAGGGGTCGATGTCAACGTAAGGAGTCTGTCCCAAAGTCATCAACTCCCATAGAGTTACTCCGAAAGCCCACTGTAAGAAAACATCACACAAGAGTTCAGGCAAGGCGCAATAAGGCACAATGACTTAAAAAGAAAGAGGATTCCTCTCTTTAACAAGTGATGTAAACACTCGAGGCAGACGTTTAGGAAAAAGTCTGTTGTGTGCTTACAGGTCCTTATACTGTACATAAACACAGAAGATAAGAAGATTCCAATCTTTATATTGGGCTTATGGGAAGTTTCTTGTAATGAGCAAACTTTAAATAAAATTGAAAATATAGATAAGTATATATATAGAAGTTATATTTATTTTCTGAATTAATGTATGCGTTTTAACTATTTTCTATTATTCAATATAAATGTCACTAAAATATAAACACACCTTTTACCCACAGCACATAAAGTCAACTATATGCGATAAAAAAATAAAATAAAAATTCTTTCATTCTTTCATTTTCCTTCGGCTTAGTCCTTTGAACAAACCGCCAACCTTTCCAGCATGCTTTACACAGTGCATGCCCTTCCAGTTGCAATCCAGTACTGGGAAACATCCATACTATTTTACACACATACACTACGGCCGATTTACCTTATTCAATTCACCTATACTGCATGTGTTTGGACTGTGGGGGAAACCAGAGCACCTGTAAAAAATCCAGGCAAACACGAGGAGAACATGCAAACTCCACACAGAAATACCAACTGACCCAGCCGGAACTCAACCTAGCGACCTACTTCCAATAAGGCGACAGTGCTAACCACTGAGCCACCGTGTCGCCCATGTGATTTTTAACTTTTAACTTTTATTTATTATGACAGTTATACCCTGTTTCTTTTTAATTGGTTATATATATATATATATATATATATATATATATATATATATATATATATATATATATATATATATATATATATAAATAAAGCTATTGAAATTAAAAATACATTTTTTAAGAATTTGATGCTATTTAGGAACCATGTGCACCCACTGACAGGTAAAAAAGTCTCTCTGAAGTTCAAGTTGCTTTAGTGGCATGACATTTTGTATTGCCAAAAGCATTTTAGATATGCATAAAGATAGTAAAATATTAACATCATCAAATTAATGAAATATACAGCAGATGAGAAATAAATAACAGAAAAAAAGTAATAAAAACAGACAATATTACTAAAAATTATAATAATTACAAGAATTAAAAGTGTAGCTTATTTAAATAAGGCAAATTAGTTAATTAACCATTTATAATGCTGTACAAATATGCTGCAACCAGCATAGATGTCATTTTGTCTTCTCAGAGTATATAATAAAGTTTTTCTGAGTTGTTTATTAAAGAATGAATTATTTAGTGTTTCTCTCATGGCTGTGCGTGTGCTGTCCGATGTGAAGCCAAGTGAAAATAGGCTTATATGAAAAGGTAACACAAAAACACAAACAAATCAACAGCAAATTTAGAAAGTGAATGCGAAAATCCAAAATCCAAATCCCAGACATTTTAGGAGATTTAAACCCTTGCCAGATGCCTTTTTTTAATTCCCTGTTGATCTTCAGAGGATGTAAAACAGATAGGACGAAAATTAAAAACTGCTTTTATTCTAGCTGAAATAAAACAAAAAAGACTTTCTCCAGAAGAAAAAAATAGTATCAGACATACTGTGAAAATTTCCTTGCTCTGTTAAACATCATTTGGGAAATATTTATACTTATGGCAAAAAAATACGTTTTTTGCATTGCCTTTAAAATGAAATAACTGAACAAAGATATTGGAGGCTGAAAAATGCAAATTTAAAAAGAAAACTTTTACTATACTATAAACCTGTTTTTTAAGCAATACATTTACATACAAGGTTGAAACACAAGTATGCAAATGTTATATTCATATTAATGTATAAACATTTCTAATGCACAACTAAAAACTAAAATAAATCCCATTAAAATATGCAAGTGATTCAGTGTATGTGAGTGTGTGTGTGCAAGAGATTACAGGCTAATCTGTATCAGAAATCTAAAAGCAAGTGTGTACCATAAAATAAAAAAGAAGAAAAGAGAAATTCATGAATGATGTAAAACACTCCTGCTTGAGCCACACAGTCCCCTTTAGGACATTTTAATGACATCAGCGGCATTCTGGAAACAAAGCATTCCGCTAAAACAAAAGTAGGAAATCTGGATTTATTCCCTCGCTTTTGGACACAATCGTGGCTTGTTCACAGAGACATTTAAGAGGCTTCAAATCAAATAAATAAGCATTCATGCTCGTTTAGCATGCATCAAGATGTTTGTTCAACATCATTAACCGTGAAACAAACTATTGTGTACATTTTGCAGCTCTTGTTATAAACAAAGCTCAAGTCAATCAAGTTGATTAGATGTCAGTTCGTTATTCTGAATGTAAAAATACCCTGACTATAAACAAGTAGCATTATTTGGAGTACACCAAGTTGACTTTATAAACAGTTCTGTATGCGTCTTGCCTTCAGCGAGATGTTGGAAAACACAAAACGGTAAAAAGAGCTGTAAAACCTGGTTAGGGCTTGAGGCCAACACACACTTGACGGCAGAAGACACTTGAAATGAATCCTCCCCATTCATTAAAAGACAATCCTACCTATCATTCTTTCCACACATTTAAAAACCGACAGGCATCTTAACACATAAGAGGATGTTGTCTGCAGCGCTGATGTGTTTTTTGTGTTTGAGGAGAAGCTATTAAAAGAGAATAGGACACAGATCAAAGTTGACATCCACTGGTGAGCTGACATTTTCTCTTATATGTCTCAGTGGGTGGGATGTATCCTGCACTACCAGTCCTTTACGGTTAACAAATCTCCAGCGTATCCCAGTAAACAAGAGTAAATTTCCATACCAGGCCACTGCTCATCACCAGCTTCCATTGTACTATGATAAACAGAATCTTAATAAGTGTTCCTGGCATGATGGCAGCACCAGCCACTATTGTTCTGTTAGTTTAAAGGGATGCAGAGGTCAGATCGCTGACAGGTTTTGGACCGGTGTGTCATTTATGAGACGGACAGGCGGCTTCAGTACTTCCTGGCTGTCTAGGGTGGGTTGTTTCCTTGGCATTTTCAGTGAGATGAACGGGAACGCTGAGTGTGTTGCCACAAAATACACCGTTCCAGTCAAACACAACACACACACACACACACACACACACACACACACACACACACACACACACACACACACACACTTTTCTCCCTTATTTGCTTTTCTCAGGAAAATATGCCAGGGGTGTACTATGACCATTTCTTAAATGTAAAAGGATACATTTGAAATAAATAAAAAATAATAATAACTCTGTGATTAATCCCGAACTCTTTGGTTAAAAAACCATACAACAGAAATAGAAATATATTTTAACACTACAACTACAGAAGCAGTCATTTTGACTCTTTAAATATATATATATATATATATATTCTCATTAGATTATAAGAAGGTTGGGGTTAGGGTAAGTGTAAGTTGACATGTACTTGCAAAGTTTCTTATAGTCAGTTAAATGTCTGTTGAAGGAGCAGTATCAACAGATATTTAGCAGACAGTCTACTAATACTCAAATGGACCATCAAAATAAAGTGTTACCCGTTAGTTTATTGAAATTACTAAACACAAGAGTTCTGAGTATTTCTACTCTGAATAGGCATAACAGCCTAGTAAACCGCATACATTTCAGTGTCCGCTACTTTTTCCAGTGATATTGAATAAGTGTGCTTCTGTTCCCTAGATGCTTTCTACTAACAATAACATAACTTTCTGAAAAATATGCTCCTGCTTACCAGATATATTGAGACATACACCTGTAGTAGTGGTCAAGTAACACAATTATAGGCTGTATTACAAAAAAAATAATGATAGTATTTTTTGAGAAAATTACATTTCGGTACAATCTTAAGCCTCATTCACACTATGAGTCAGTCGCAGGGGTAAAGCGACAAGGGACTGTTCATTTCAACGGAGAGCGACCATTGGCGACCAGGTGAGTGTGTCATGCGACATGACAAAGTTGAGAATCCTTCAATTTTTACAAGAAGTTATTGCAGCAGCCTGGAGACCTCCAAGTGGGAGGGATTACACTGCAAGTAGATTGGGTGACCACCAAGTGGGAGATCAGGTTATCAGGTTACTGTGAGGTTAGGTTTAGGGTTGGGATAGACATTCATAAAGCACAGTATTAGACTCAGTGTCATGTACAAGACATAAAATCAATAAAAAAAATACAGGATTGTACAGCTCTTTAGGAGCTCGAAGGCCCACTCACTTGGAGCTCAAGTCCCATCCACTTGAAGCTGGCTCCGACCTCCATTTATACCCTTCTCACTTCCAAATGAAGAGCGACTTTCTTGAGCGACAGCCAATAGAAGCACCAGTAGAGCTCATGTGACTCTCTCTGCTCATTCAGAGACCACTTGTATGCTTCGTGCTGTAGACCTACACAGACCTGCATTTGCAGCAGATCGCCACCCAGAGCAACAAACAGCTACAAAGTCGCTGCTAGCATGAATGAGGCATTATGGACAATCAGAATGACCACTGTGGCCACAATAGAAATGATAGAATTTTGATATTTCCAGTGGTATAAAAACCTTTTTTTTTTTGGGCGTTTGCTTCCATTAAAAGCAAAGTCCACCAAGCCTCATCTATTGGTTATCATAAGATTTACATATTAACTATATCATACATGAAATTTGCTCACCAAATAAAGTGACTGTATCTCTTCAAAAGACTTGTTTTACTTTAGGAATCCACTGATATGGATTTTTTGGCCACTATCGATAATCAATAACTCATAAGATTTGGAGGCTGATAACCGTTATATAAGCCGCTAAATAAAAATATTTTAAAATGTTATATTTTTATAGAGTGAACAACTGATTTTATTTTAAAAACTTGATAAAAATTTGATCTGGTCTAATGAACTGAATAGCCAACTCAAAGCAAAATAAATAAATAAATAAATAAATAAAAAATTGCAAGGTGCTTTTATAGACAGGTAGTTTCCGTACAATTACATAATCTATAGGCTTAAAAATATCGGCCTAATTTTGATATTGGACCGATAACAATAACATTAAAAATAGCATTTATCAGCCGATATCAATATGGCTGACGATAAATTTGTGCATCTCTTACTTACTTTGCAATGTTCTTTTGAAATGGAAAGAAAAACCTTAGGTTCAAGTAAAACATCCTTTATTTTTATTTCATAATTGAATGCAACTATTATGCATTTTATTTTTTTCAAATTTAATGACAATTTTATTTTCCTTCAGTAAACTGCTTCTTTAAAACTGTGCTCTACCATGAGTTCATAGACTTGCATGCACTAAAATAATTTATTGCCCTCCAACTTTATAAAAATAAAACAAATAAAAAGTCAATGCAAACAATAAGCTATTAGCTGCACATTGAATTAGATCCAGATCTCGTCTAGCAAAAGTGTTTGTAATAGTCATTGGACGTCTTATAATTTGTTTGCATATGTAGACATTTCCCTGAACATTTAACATACACCCATTATAGGATTATTATCATGAATATAAACATATTAGGGAAATTTAAGGCATGTTAACTGCTGAAATGCCACATGCAGTCACTGGCATGGGCCTCAACATGTTCATGGACATCTGAAACATGATTACTGTAATTGTCAGCAATAACAAAACACGACAGCGCAGACAGTGTGACGTCAAAGAAGTTATGCAATTTAAAATCTATTACCAGGATCTGAGTCTATGAATGAGTATGCACTCTAGGTACTTGCATTGAGAAATGGCAGCAAATATCTTTTCGAAGGAACACAGGCTATGATATTCCTTTACATGCAAAATATGCAATGGAAGAGAGAAACAAAGAGACCACCTGCTGCTTGTATGGAACACAATATTTTGTAAGTGTATGTTACACTCTGTTGCATAGAAGACAAACAGGAGCAGCAATTCTTACCACATCACTGGCACTGGAGAAGTCATTGTTCAGCAAACTCTCCAAAGCCATCCAGCGAACTGGTCGGTTCTCATTGTCCCCGAGGCAGTGGTAGTCCATAGGGAAGAGATCACGAGCTAGAGCATTGTCTGTGATCTTGACTTGCATGCTGTTATCAATTCTACAATAAAAATAAGATGTCAAGACATACATATGGAAAATACACATCACTATATATATAAAATATATATATATATATATATATATATATATATATATATATATATATATATATATATATATATATATATATATATAGCGCTGCAGACAACATCCTCTTATGTGTTAAGACGCCTGTCGGTTTTTAAATGTGTGGAAAGAATGATAGGTAGGATTGTCTTTTAATGAATGGGGAGGATTCATATATATATAAAATCAAAAGCAAGTCTCTCATATAACATTTCTACTAAAAGACCTTAAGCATTACTGAATATTACTGCACAAACTGTATTGTCAATACATCATATCCACATTTTGCATATTCATTAATAATATTACTGAGGGTAGTATAAACAAATATATACTGTATTTGCACCCATGTAAAGCCCTGCTCACACTGTTTTCCATTGGATTCAATTTCGATTTTTCGATTTCGGCAACGATTTTGTCATATGCGACAAATTTGGGAAATCCTAAAAGATTCATGAGATCCTAAGCTAAAATCTGTGGTCTTTGATCGTTGGTTTGACATGTTCACAGACAGCCGCTTAGTGCCCGTTGCGATTAGATTTTTCCTCCGATGAAGTTCTGGCAGAGTCAGAAGATTTCCGACACTTTCCTGCAGCGTGACAACAGCTGGGATGAGCAATCCAAGAACCAATAGGAGCTTCGAATTTGAGGACGCATTCCATGAGACAATTGAAATGACCACGGGAAAATGTCAAAACTGTTTTTTCTTCCTACTTTTATTATTGAGACTTGCTGTGTGCAAAATTGCTGCTACAGATTGTTTACGTTTGCTGTAGGAAATCATTTTAGAACGCGGGATGGTGAAAGTGTCACGGGTCGATGACAGTCTGACTTTATGATAGCTGAGATTTTACAGTGTGACATGAGAGCCAAAGAAAAAAAATGCACAGTGTGAGCTGGCCTTAAACAAGGAAATACATAAACCCAATGATGGGTTAAAATCTGTAGATTTCTAGGTGTGCAGATTCAGTGTTGGCCTAGTCATGAGTAACATTTATTTAATACAATGCAGTAAATTAAACCTTGTTTTGGTGCACTCTCACAACAAATCTCATAAGGGTAGCTATTTAGATTAATAGGTAACCTTTTCTTATTTGATCCATTTTCAACATCATGTCTGTTTTCACAACACCTTTTCATTAACTCAGGGATGGGCAAACTTGGTTCTGGAGGGCCGGTGTCATGCATATTTTTGTTAAACACTAATCAAACACACTTGAACATGCTCATCAGTGTCTTCAAAATCACTAGAAAGCTATAGACCCTTTTCACAAGCCTGTTATGGCGCATTTAACGGTCATCAGCATCTTAAATCCTTGAAATTTTTTAATATTTAGATTTTTTTTAAACAATTGAACATTTATATTTATGTAGCATATCATCTATAATATATCAGCTTCAAATGACAAAAACGAATTAGCTCTTGTGCGAGGCATCTTCGATGCATATATATATATATATATATATATATATATATATATATTCGTGTACGAAGACTTGTGTTGAAATCATACTAAAACATTGCGTACGCACAAAGCTGTAAATGTGCATACGCAGTAATTCAGATGTATGAAACACTGCGTACGCCAAATATCACGCATATTCTCTTTGTACATCCGAATTAACGTGAAACGAGTGCAAAATGCCTCCCTGTCTCCTCCCCATATGAATATGCTAATGACTCTACTTTGGCAAAACCAAATGAAAAAGCAATGTTAAAAACAAGCACGAAGAAAAACTTTGAACAGGATGTGAATTGGAGGTGCTCCTATCGGAGGTACAGCGGAGAAAAACTGTTATTTTCAAGTTTGTCATTGGAATGAGCTAGCTGAGTGATTTCCGCCCGTTTGATCGACAGAGACAACAACACAAAAGAGGGCAGAGATTAGCAGCGTGAGTGGCGTAGCTCATAAAGCGCATGGCAACATGTTTTGACACTGTCATTCATGAACCCGGTTCGAATCCAGCGTCTGATGAACTCATTTCTTTTTCTTTTCCCCATTACATATCAGATTTTGCCAACTCTTCATCACGAGGAACACAAGTAGGAATCATTAATAAGTGTGTATATTATGTTAAGCGCATTTGAGCATTACATATTATTTGCACATTTATTGAATGGAACTGTTTTTGATTCACGTATGCAAATGTGTCTGCAGATGGCGCCTTTATAGCAATGTGCGTGCAGTCGATCACTCCGATTAAATTGGGAAAACCGGCGATCGCTGCAAGTTGCGCTTTAATGTTTGGCTGGTCAACTGCATGTTATGGAAACCTTATATACCTTCTAGACATGCGGATGATCCCGTCCCATATAGCTGCCATTGCACGGTCAAAGATACTTTGTAGTGTACAATTTAACACAATAGCCTCTAGGAGTCGCCAATGGAAATAAAACAAACACACACAAGAAATGCACGTACGCCAGACATGAAGTTGGCATGGACCAACGCACATTCTCACTTTCATTTCATCGTTAGTAAATCCAAACGTGAGCGTGAAACCTGGCGTACGCAAAGTTTTTGTGCATATGCAGCATTGATACATGAGACCCCTGTCCTCCAGGACTGAACTTGCCCATCCCTGCTTTAACTAAAAGTGGTGTTTAAAACACATTCAGGGCTCCTCTCCAAGCCAAATATCAAATTCCCTGACTTTCACTAAATAAAAAATAATAATAAAATAATTTCCATAACCTACAATGATCGGAAAAGCAGGCCGCTGTTGTGCTTGGCAAAATATTAAAATGGATTTAGCTAGAATATCATTTTGACTTTATTAGCCACTTAAAGAACAACAATGGACAATTCATGTCAGATTTTGAGAAAGAAAAAATAATAATAATCTAAAGGTACTTTCTCTGTTTGAGGGGCTACAAAGACCTCTGTCTCCCATATCTAATATCTCAGTAGTAGTTTTACAAACTTTACATTTAGTTATTTTGCCATACACTATTTAACACCCAGTCTTTGAAGTGGTCATTAATAAATGCAGTCTGGTGACTGCATTGGACTAGGAAAGAAATGAAATAGAGCTGAAAAACAGCTTAACAACATGGTAGTATTGTATAGAAAAATGTAATTTTGATAAATGGAAACTAAAAATGTTAAAATGTTAAAAAAAAAAAAAAAAATCCCTGATAGTGATCTCTATGACTTCAACGATCATATATAAGATATTTAAAAAATCCCTGTCTTTCATTGTCTGGAATAAACCCTGCATATTAGAGGCCAATTATAGTCATGTATTTCACACCATCCACTTTTTTGATCACAAAATAATCAACACAAAAATTCTTAACCCCAGGTTTAAATATGACCTAAGATGGTGAATAAAGCGAGAGCATAAAGTCAGATGGCACTTACACACAGTTTCTGGCAGCCAAGTCTTTGTGAATGACCTCTCTCCGTGCTAAATAGCTCATCCCACATGAAATCTGTATTGCCATGTGGACCAGGTCTTGCTGAGAGATGGCCTATGTGAATAACAAAAGAGAGAGGACAACATTTTTACAGTCATCAAAAATATATGTATTCTAAGGGTCACTGGCAGTGAGATGTTACTCAATTTTAACAAGAGGGCCAACAAGAAAAATAGAAAGAGAAAGACATAGACAGTGAGAACATTCGATGAATACGCGCACAGACAATCGTGGTTACAGTTCACATCTTAGGAAACCAGACTTGATGGAGCAACAAGTTCCTCTGCTGAATCTCAGTTTGACGTCTGATGTAATGGCAGTTACCTCACTGAACATAAACATCCTCTGCACCTAGACGCCTAGCGATTTACCTCTTTAGAAGAAGTGTCTGTACTTTAGGCATCCTTGTATAATCTATCTCGAGTCAGACACAACAAAAAATCCCTTGGTGCTGACTGACAAGACCATAACACAATCCTCTCTGAATGAGTGGCTTTTCAGTTGAGCTACACACAAGGCTTTGGAACAAAATAATTGCAGCGTATGACAAATCAGCTGTCAGATGAGTTCGGCGCTGCATGCTCAATCCTGTTTGTTCAGTGCGAATTCGGTTTAGAGTGATTTAGGATAAAATGTTTACTCAAGAGAGAATGTAGGGAGTTGGTAGGATCAGCCAATGAGAATGTATAGTCAATCTAATCTAAACTTTTTTATTTTATTTTTAGCTGAAGTAGGCATACATTTAGAGGCTTAACTCCCCCGAGGGTGTGCTTTAACATGCCAGAAATCTAACAGCAACTGTTAGACTGTCAACTAGATAAATCCTTCTTTGAAATGTCACGTCTCTGTTAGTCTACTTTCAAGCACCAAATGAATTACTGACTACATTTACATGGAAACCAGTAATCAAATTATTGTCTTAATCTAAATAAGACAATAATATGATTAAGGTGTTTACATGAGTTGCTTTTTGTATGCTCTTTTCATGATCCTGTTTTACGTGTCACAGCACATAATTCAATTAACATCATTACGTCACCACACTATTCACCTTTCATCTGGAGTTTCATGTAATTTCGGCTGTTTCATTTTTAATTTGTCGAATTTAACTGCAGTTTGGCATTTTCACTTTCATTTAGGAACATTTCATGCATGCCCTCGGTGACAAACGAGATATTAGATGCAAGTATGAACTGCTGGAATAGTGTAGTTTTAATGGAATTTGGTACCGCACGCCGTATGGGGAAAAAAAACTCTGAATTTCACAGTGCAGGTGTCTGCGGTCCTTCAATGACTTTGTAGGTGCAAATAATAAATAATAAGTGTCAAACAGCCATGTGTGTGTGTATAGACTATCCTGAAGCAAAATGCAGCGAAAATCCTACGAGACGGTAGTAGTTTGATTAAGATGTTTACATGTCTGTACTGCACTTTAGTAATGCGACTTAAATCAGCATACTCCACATGTCTTCATTCGATTTCAGTTTAATTCGACTATGAACTTAATCGAATTGAATTAATGAAAAATAGATGTTAACATGGGATGTCTCCATCAGAGTATTGTCTTAATCGTATTGAAATTGAATTATTGGTGTCCATGTAAACTTACTAACTGTTATTCATTCATTGTTGTTCTGGTTAGCACTTTCTGGTTACTATCACAATTCATCTTACGATACTATACCAGCTGAAGTATCACAATACCAAGTAGTACTGCGATACTTGAATTTATAAATCAAATTATAAAGAAAATTGTCAGAAATACTATATTTTGTTATAAAAAGCCTACTTGAATTCATTTCATAATTCCCTTATTATTGAAAAAAAGTATTATTTGCATGTCGCTTCACTTAAACTTTATTCATTGTTTATTTTGTAGACAATTGACCAACAAAAAAAAGTTATCCCAAATGAAATGGGTTACAAAAAGAGCTTTTTTCCAACACAATTATGCTGTATGAAGCGGTCAAAAATTGTTTCAATGCTTCCTGCAGCTATTTTGGGTTTTTCATCTATTGCTTTATCAGGTAAAAATCCAGTCATTAAAATTTCACTTTGTGAGTCGTTCTTTTTAAGAGATTGTCACGGTTGTTGTAGCTACAAAATCATATTGACAGGATCAGAAATTAACTGATTCAGATGTGGGTTCGAACTAAAGCATTAGAAAATGAAAAAGGGCTGAATTCTGCACAGTTTTGCAATCTTAAAGGGCTTCACAGACTATTAAAATAAAATGGTCTATTGTTGCACAAACATGTGATCATGTGATCTATATAGTGATTTATTGTAGATGGACCATTAATGACCATTCTATCGTTTACAAACTACAGTGGCACCGACAGTATTTTAAAGCCATCGAGCTGCGATAGTACCATAGTACCGGTAACCGTGCAACCCTAGTTGGCACCAATAGGTTTTATGTTGACACTCATAATCAAGGGTCAATAATAAACAAACACTTCATAGCTCAATTCAAACCACAGGGAATTTAAAAAATAAAAATAAAAAATAGGAAAAGAAAGCAAATTTAGGCACCACAAATTATTACAAATGTACAAATGGAAACCAGTTCTACTTCTTTTTCCACATTCTGCTTCTTCTCACGCACACTGCTGTCCACACAGCTTTCAAAGTACACTCAACCACTAGTGAGCGGAATAGGATGAGTTTGACATGAATAGTACCGCCCACATAACTGACTCAAAATATTGGAAACATTTTGACAATGGCAAACCCTCACAATGACAGTTATGTCATAAGGATGATGTGGAATGTGACTTTAGTAAATTATTAATCTTTAATTACAGGTCAATGTAAGTTCATTCTGTCAAATGGAATCTAAAAGTAAAAACTATTGCACATTATGCACAAAATCTAACATTGCAGTATTTTTTTTATTTTGCGATATATATTGTGATATGACAATTTCACCAGATGACATAATATCTCTATTTGAGAAGAATTTATAATGTTAGATCAATTGGGATGATTCTGCAGTGGGAGTGCATCTCCATAAAATTGAATTAACCACCTATAAACTTTTAGGGTCCCTGACACAATTTCAATGTGGTCTGTGCTATCTGCAGTGCATTTCTGTATTTGCATGTGTTGTGAGTATTTTCATGCATAACAATCTATTAATACAATTAAGAAAAAAATGCAATTAAAATGACAGAGTATATAATGGAATTAGAGAGTGAAATTCGATAATTTAAAGAGCTTTTTTTATACTCTTTCCATATATTTTAAGACCTTATAACAATTTTTGTTTCAACCATAAACACGGCGGGATTTTACCTTATAGTAGATTTACAAATTATTAATGTAAAAAAAAACTAATCCAAAACTAAAACATTATTCGAATACTGAATACAAATCAATTAAATCTAGCTAAATCAGGGAGTTAGCGTCTATAGAACTGCAGAAATAATAGAGTTACCGTCGTTACTGCAGTAAACAAAGCATGATGTCAAATCATGTCAAATCTAACAGGCTTTTATTGGTTTTATAAACTACACAGCATCCTGATATTTGCATATTTAATTCAGATTTTAGCATACAACCATACATTGCATAATCAAAAATGATATAAAATGCAATACCTTAAAAAACAGCATTTTATGGCCTTAAATTTCTCTACATTGATTTATCAACTTTTAATACTTTAAGACCCCGCGGACACCTTGAATGAAGGGTTTTATCATTTTTTGAGTCTAAGAGTATTCAAGTACAGTAACTGAATGAAAAAAATATTTCAGTAAAATTAATCGTAGTTTACATCACAAATGGTACAATTCCCTATACCTAAATGCTTTTAAAATCATCATACACTCACAGGCATCAAAAATTCGCAAATGATAAATTGTAATACAAACTCAAACATTGTCCTGCGATATGACTATTGCAAATGACCACCTTGCAATATCGATGCTGAAACGATATATTTTGCAGCCATAATATAGAGTTTTAAAACTGACAAGTCATTCTAGAAAGAGATATTTGTATTTTTACACACCTCCACATTCAGGTCATATGAGGTGTAAACCCTGGTAGTATATATTAAAAGGAAATCACTCACTTTCAATGCATCAAGCATGGGCAGTTAACATGATTTATGTTTCCCCCCCACAAAATAATTGCAGTATAACTAACATTGCCACAACAAGTTTAATCTTGAAGTGTAAATAAAATTGATAGCTTGAAGCACCCATTTAACCATGTTAAGAATACATTGGTTTGACTGATGGAATATATGTAATCTTGTTTTTGGAGAAGTTTCACTGGCAGCCGAATGAAAGAGACCGCTCAGGGTTAACACCACAAAGGCTTGATTGTGCACAGCACACTACTGTAAAGCATACATCCCCGAACGTTCACTTAATGTTGACAGAAGCTCTGCACAATGAATTCATTGTTCTGAAGAAAGCAATTAAATCAGGATAATCTGAACACTCCAGGTGTTCTGCTGGAGGGTTTCTAATATAAACACCTGCCTCGAACTGATTTACGAGACACAGCGAAAGGACTTTCACTGCGCTTCTAGTTCTCTAAATACACTTTGCTTAAAAATCACTCTCTGTGTAAATAAGAATGCATAAAAAACAAACAGCAAAATAAATGTGTTTTTAGAGTCTGAAAATATTGCTGCATTATTATTAAACCTTTCAATTTTTTATTATTTTTATTCTAATGTGACAAAACTTGTATATTCCTTTAAAATGTACAGTGTCTACAGGAAACCATCATGTTCCTTTGAAATAATTGTTGTATTTTTCATACATCCTGAAATCAAATCACATTCCAAATTACTTTTCCAAATGTATCCAAACTATCTCTTAACCTTTGCCATTCTACAACTTTATCTTGAAGGTCTTTTGAAAGCAGGATGTAAAGTGAGTAAAGGTATAGATTTTCACAGATGATTTTCTATAGGCACTGTATATATAATTATTTCATTTACGGAAATTTACAATTTGAAAACAAACAAGCAAGCAAAAAAGTGTCCACTCACCTGTGGATTGTTGGCCTCTGCAAGCTTACACTGGCGAAGGAAAAGCTTAAGATTTCCCCAGTTCATATAAGGCAACAGGACCATGGGCTTCTCACCATCTTCTATGCACACGTGGCTGATGGGTAATAAGTTCCTAAGAGCAAATAGACCAGAAATGTGTGTTAAACCACGTTGGTGTTGAGTAAAGGTCAGGCTTAAGCAGGAAAAGGCAAAATAATTAATGTGGGAACACAATGAACAAGCATTAAAGAAATATGTTTATATTTTAGATCAATACGTGACAGGAAGTGATGTACTGCATGTGCATAAAAACTATTTCAATCAGTGATTAATTTCTGAAAAGTCATGGGCTGTGCTGACCGTTTAACCCCAGACACGGGGTCTGCGTGACTGCAGAGCTTGAAGCGTTCGGGACAGGATATGGGTTTGAGCCCATCCCAAAAGGCAACCAAGCGGGAAACAGAAAAATCTAAACAGAATGTCTGACCTCAGGGCTCCACTGCCATTATATTAATATCAGGGAAAAAAAATGAACTCAGATTAAATTATAATAAATATTATAATTATTAGTTTACTATTTAGTGTTCTTTTAAATGGATATTTCACCCAAAGATTTACATTTCTCCACCATTTACTCACATACAAGTGGTTCTAAACTTTTATGCAGAAAGTTTAGCCTAAACACTGGGGCAAAACAATGTGACCTAAAAGTTTTTTTTTGTTTTTTTCTTTCACATGATATACAAGCCCAATCACACCAACAAAGAATTCAATATCACAGAAAGGTTGCTTTTATCCTCACTGGCACAAGTGTAAATGTTTACACAACAGTTCAATACGAATTTAGCTATATTTTAGACAAAATAATGTCTTTTTTTGCTCAGTTTTGCCAACAAAAATCTTTTCTATAAAGCTGTAGCAAAACTACTGCGAGTCCCTGGTCAACACAAAAGTGTAATAACATTTTTTTTTTTTTTGCAGGAATCAGGTGAATGATTCAATTGTACATTCACATAAAATTGGGATGCACCGATAAACCATTTTCACTATTAACCGCGCTTTAATTCGTCAAGGTTAATTATCGTAACATTACGAACTGCTGCAACAAAAAGTGTGCCAACTGTGCGCTAGTTTAAAGTTCCAAGCTTGTACACTGAGGCTAATATCAGGGTTCATACACATTTTTACTGCTAAAGTTCCATGACTTTTCCAAAACTTGTAAGTACCTTTTCATGACATAATGTTTCATATACAGTAATGTCTATACATGGTAAATAATATAAACAATGAAATTCAAATTTATTACAGCATATCATAGAACATCCAACAATTTATTTTGTTTAAATTGTTTTTATATTGATTTTTTCAAGCACTAACAATGTGAGAGCAAGTTTTTGGCCAAGGACAGAAGTAAAGTAAAAACAAGTATGCCGAGTTCAGACTACATGATTTTCAAAGTAGTCTTGTCACAGGTGTTTTCATACTGCATGACTATCTGGGCTAGTGTTTTGTTGCTGCTTTGTTTACACTGCAAGATGGATCGCCGACAGGGGGTTTCACACAGCATGACTTTAAAATAGGAAAAATTGCCGACAACTTTGTCCAAACGACTCTCACAACCAAACAAACATAGCATATATTTTGTTACTAACTACACAATGAGAAAGAAGCCTTTAATGGGGAGGAAAATGTACATATTTGCTCACCTGGGTTTGAAAGGAATTAGCAATTTCTCCTAAATTTTTTTTCTTTTTTGACCCGGTTGTGATACTGCTCAGATGACACATCAGACAGTGCTCCTGTCAAACTTCCAATAGTTTTTCCTCCATTTCTTGGGTCTGAGTACACTAAAAATGAGCCCTTTTAACTCTTCCCCCAACTTCCCACTGACCTGCAGGTACCCATGCTAGTCAATGCTGCTCTCTCGTTGGCTGTAGGTAATCGCCAATGATATTTCAAGTCAAAACTGCTTTCACACTGTGATTTGAATTGCTGACAGGTCCAGATATTTAGCATGCCAAATATCTCACGAGCATTGGCGACTCATCGGCAATTCCCTCAGATCGCGTCTTTGATAGTTCACACTGTGTGATTGTCACTTACGTGAACAAGCACCAAATTACCTGTGATTTCAGGCATTTGTTGCCAATTTCTCAAAACCTATCGGTGGGTCAAAATCAGGGCTAAAATTATGCAGTCTGAACTCAGCATAAACTATATTCAAGTTAGGGCTGTACAATATATCGTTTCAACATCGATATCGCAATGTGCGCATCCGCAATAGCCACATCGCAGGGTATGCAATGATGGGATTTTAGTTTAATGTAGAGCTTAATCATAATGGACTAAAAGTTTATCATCTGCATGCATTTTTAAAGATATAGTTCACCTAAAAATTACTTACCATTTTCATTACATCCTTCACTTGTTTCAAACATTTATGATATTTCTTTTTTTTTAAATGAACACGAAAAGAATATTATTTAATAACTCCTATATTAAAACAAGTGAAGCGTGAGTAAATAGTAAGTACATTTTAATCTTTGAGTAAACTGTCCTTTTAAGGAGTGTGACTGTGTTAACATGTCAATATTTAAAAATTGTAAAACATCCAGCCACAAAAAAATTGTTTGTAACTTTATTAAAGATTAAAATAATATACAATGAGGACTAGGCGACGCAGTGGCGCAGTAGGTAGTGCTGTCGCCTCACAGCAAGAAGGTCGATTCTAGCATCGGCTGGGTCAGTTGGCATTTCTGTGTGGAGTTTGCATGTTCTCCCTGCGTCCGCGTGGGTTTCCTCCGGGTGCTCCGGTTTCCCCCACAGTCCAAAGACATGCGGTACAGGTAAATTGGGTAGGCAAAACTTTCCATAGTGTATAAGTGTGGGTGTGTGGATGTTTCCCAGAGATGGGTTGCAGCTGGAAGGGCACCCGCTGCATAAAATCGTGCTGAATAAGTTGGCGGTTCATTCCGCTTTGGCGACCCCAGATTAATAAATGGACTAAGTTGAAAAGAAAATGAATGAATGACAATAAAGACTATGCAGTGTTGATTATTCAATATCTGCACCTGAATAGTGAATACCTAAAAACTAGAATTTACTTTTATCTTTACTATATTTTATCAGTGCTTTTAATTTATTTGTTATATATTATTCGAGACTTACTCCTCTACAAAATCCCCCCAATCAATCCAACTAAGGCTCTTAAATCATCTGGTAAAATTGTACTCACATCGCAACATACCTCACAGAAATACACAATATCCTAATGTCAGATAATTTTTCAATATCTCGCAGCCCTAATTTAGGTATACAGAGTTGTTAAACTAATTTTTATGCCTCCTCCAAAACATTGTGGGTTTTTCAGTTTTTCAAAAACTTTTCCAGGCCTGGAAAATAACATGTCAAAATTCCATGACTTTTCCAGGTTTTCCATGAACGTATGAATCCTGTAATACTGTATGCATGCACACTGGTTTAACTAAGCCTGACTTAACTATGGTTAAGCAGTCTTTGACTACATTTGTTCTCTTTAAAAGGGAAATAATTAATACTTAGTTAATATGTAGCTTAGACTTACATTAGACAAATACAATTTAATAAAATTTATTCTTATTTTTATTTATTTTTTTATTTATTAATTGCTCTGTCATTTATTTTAAGTGCAGAATTATTACATATGGTTAAATGCCAAAAACTTTTCAATTATTTTTAAGTACAAAGAAAAAAGAACTATTGTTTGTTTTTACTATTATTTTCTGCTGTATTTAGTTACTGAGCAGCAATAAAAACACTTTAATAAGGAGTTTTCATGTGATTTTTAAACTAGTAGTGTTTTAAAATTAATAAATAAATAATAATCATGATAACCGTGATTATTCCTTAGACTATAATCATACAACCAAAAACTGTAATCCTTGCATCCCTAATATAAGAGCCGTTTACTTTGTCTATCGATTCATACACTTAAATTAAATGAATGAATGAATAAATATTTCGATGACTTCCTCGTTTTATTAATTATAATCTGATTATTTTATAATATACATACATAAAAATTTTTTGTTATTTTAAGTAAAGGTTATAGTTTTTGTACTCATCTGTTGTTTCAAACCTGTGTCTTTTGCAGAACAAAAAAAAATGGTAATCAAACTTGACAAGGCTATCATTTTCAAGGCTATAGACGCAAAATGAAATGTTGACATTTAATATGGATGAGTGTCTGCTAGACTATACATGTATAAATAAAAAGATAGCCTTGGATAAATCTATCAGGGACAGAATTGATTTAAACAAGTAGATAATTACAAATGCGGAAGGCTTGAAACCACATTCATTTCTATGAAAGGAGCATGGTAAACAAGAACACACTAATGAAGAAAGAATGCAGATGGAGACTCATCAGTAATTCGGTGACTCTCACGGCAGAGGAAGTGTGTAGATTAGTAGTCAGAATAGTCTCAGAGCTGTAGCTGCGGTTATCTGTCATCTGTCACAACACTCTAACATTACACAACTTGATTCCATTGTGGAGAAGGATAATTCACACACCATGAAAGAAAGGCAATTTGCACGTCATTATTCTAATTATCAGAAGTGTGTGTGTGTGTGTGTGTGTGTATTACATTTTTGTTGCATGCTCATTGTTTGGATTCATAATTATATGGCTAAGGACTAAGAATAATTACTTTCTTATAACTTACTTATAAACATGTACATACAAAATACAATAAAGATTTCTAAATCTAAAAAATACAAATAAAAATAAAAGACTGATAGAGAAAAAGCAAATAATATAACGGGCAAATGATAAACAAGTAAAGCAATAAACAATTTGTAACAGCAAGAAGCAGCACATGGTGTGTTTGTGACTTACCTGTGGTGAAGGCCCCGTAGTTTACAGCTTTCTGTAAGCATCATGGTCACCTGTACCTCAGAGGCGTGATCTGCAGTGTCAAAAACAACAAGAGTGTCACAATTAGTGATGTAATAACCTTGTTTGCAACTTTTTTTGTCAAAATCGTCACATTCATTTTTTTTTATTATATTATATTATATTATATTATATTATATTACATCACATTACATTACTTATATTTTATTTTATTTTATTATTAATTTTCTTTTCAGCTTAGTCCCTTTATTAATCGGGGGTCGCCACAGCAGAATGAACCGCCAACTTATCCAGCATGTTTTATTATTCCAGCGGATAATAACGGACAATTTAGCTTACCCAATTCACCTGTACTGCATGTCTTGGGATTGTTGGGAAAACTGGAGCACAAGGGGGAAACCCATACGAAGGCAGGGAGAACATGCAAACTCCACACAGAAACGCCAACTAACCCAGCCGAGGCTCACACTAACAACTTTCTTGCTGTGAGGAGACAGCACTACCTACTGCGCCACTGCGTCTCCTTTGTTTTATATTATATTATATTATATTACATTATATTACATTATATTACATTATATTACATTACATTACATTACATTACATTACATTACATTATATTATATTATATTATATTATATTATATTATATTATATTATATTATATTATATTATACTTTAAAGTCAGACATACCTTAGACACATTTAACATTAAATCAAGCACATAATCGATTCCCAAAATTATCACCACTGTAGTGCTGTTTTTTATTTCCTCAACAAAGATGTGAGGAAATAGTGTCAAATTAAGCGTCAAATCACAAGGACTGTATTATTATTTAATTTACTTCATGCAAGACATTTTTCTACTGAACACAAACAAAACTAAATAATGTGTTGTTTAAATATTTCCTAGGAAATAACAGATAGGGGCAAAAAATAAAGCTAAAAATAAAATAAAATAAAATAAAATAAAATAATGTGTGTCAGTTACTAACAAAGCAATTATATGGCTTCTGAAGATTTTTGAATATAGAATATGTAAACCAATTTTATGATGTCTATAATATGATTGATCATTTTTAAAGTTAAACAGCTCCAGAACGTCCTTAAATACATTAGAATGAAAACCAAGATATGACCAAGATATTATTAGATCCACCGTTTGTGTTCTACAAAGACAGTCAGCCACAAAAAAACAGACATTAAATCAAATAGCGATGGATTCTACATCTGTTTGGCCCTGTAAGGGAAGTTCGTGTTAGTAAAAAGGCCATGTAGGTCCTAAATAACCCCTCCACCTTCCACTTGAGAAAGTCTGGTTGCTCGAAAAGCTCTTTCCAGCCAATCTCACAGATTGCTGGCTGAGTGAACACATTGAGAATGAGTTCACAGAGGTCTGCTTTTATCTTGGAGCACAGCTTTTGACGGATGCTTGGAGAGTTTGGGTAAAGCGAATTGTTTCCTATCCCTTGGGCAAGGGCCGAACAGCTTGGCAGAGCAGAGGCTGGTATAGTGGCATTGTCTGATGATTGGCATCAGCCCTGGGCTGGGTTAAAGGGGCATAAGGGCACATAAAGGGGTGACCGGTGTGATGGAAAGAGCTTAAGTTTCTCATGGCATTTGCAATTTCTTCTAAACTTGCAAATGCCTTTAAAACACCCCAGCCTAGTTTCATTCCTGTATTTTGAACTTACATTCATAGTAATTACGCTTATTACCACAAACAATCCCTTAGGTGATTTTCTAGGAAAATAGGTTTTGAGAAGGTAATTTTAAATCAGTATTGTTCTCAAGGGGGGTATCATATGAGGGTTGAAGAGTGGATGTACAGTACCTTTCACTGCTTTCACAAAGACTTGTTTTTCTTTGCTTGGGTCCTTCTCATCAAGCAAGACTCCATGAAATATGCGGCCAAAAGTCCCTGCGGATCAAAATAAAGCCACTTTAGGAAAACAGAACTTTCTGCATCTGCCTCATATAAAACAGCAAGATAAAACATTAACATCAAATATAAACAATAATCTGCATGAGTTTAACATTGCAAACATTTTACAGTTTTGGGGGATAAACACATGGTAAGATTCCAGAATGAAGCTGTTTGCCTGACAATTAGTGATTTATAACTTAGCTACGAAACGTGGGGAAATAAACTATTTCAGGCAATCAGAAGAGTCCTCACTCACACTGACAATCTCAACAATATTGAACTCCATCTTAACAAAATAAAAAAAATGATAACAATATATAATGTAATGGATATAATGTTACTTTTTTGTAACTGTTATTTGTCACAACTGTCATTGTATATTTATTATATTATATTATATTATATTATATTATATTATATTATATTATATTATATTATATTATATTATATTATATTATATTATATTATATTATATTATAATCTGCTCAGATCAGGATTATTGCAGCCGATACAGAGTAACAATTTCTTTCATGAGGATTCCAATGCTTCAAGCTTTATAATGAATAAAGCACATTTTCACTCTAAGTGTGACATTTAAGTGGAGATCTCTCCTAACATAAGAGAATAAATGAAGGATGTTGCCTATACTCCCTTAAACACGTCTCTTATAACCGTTTAGTGTAGTCATGTCATGATCAGAAGCAGCTTTACATAAAATAATAATTAAAACAGATTACAAAAAGGTAAGAAAAATGACTATGCAATTTAGAATTGCTGCAAATGATGGAAGAAGAATTCAACATGAAAAAGTTTGGAGTGCATATTTGATGCTCGCAGCCATTAGTAAACCTTTCCAAAAATGCATCTTTTAAATGTAAAAAGTGTGTTCGGTGCGATCATGCTCTTACTCTGCCCATTGTATTATTTTTTGTTATGTTGTGTTATGTTATATTTTAATATATTATATTATACTATAAAGTCAGCAAATGATCAATACCCAAGATTAACACTATCATAGCTGTATGCTGTTTTTGCCAATCATGATAATGCAGAAATAAAAACTCTGATTAACATGAAAAAGTATATATATATATATATATATATATATATATATATATATATATATATATATATATATATATATATATATATATATAGCACAGTAGTCAGTTAGAAAGCAATGTCAGACTAATTGTGTGATGCCTCCAATACAACTCACATGACATGTTTAACAATAGTGTCACTGATTTAAATCAATAAAAAACACAGTATGCATGTTTGATTCAATTTCAAGGTTTTTTATTGTTTACTAGTATTTATTTTTTGTTAAATTAAATGTACATAAAAATGTATTGTTCATTTATTTATTTATTTATTTTACTTCTAGATATCTAGATTCTCCTTGGCAATAACCATTTTTTTAAAGGTAAGATTTTTGTAAATACAGAAATAAAATTTCTATCAAGCCAGTATCGTGTGCTGTATCTAGTATCGTGTGCTGTCTAGTTCTAGGTTATATATGTCTTTAGGAAATAGTGCTTCAAATCGTAAAATGTGACAAACAGAAGGTGTGGACAGCTTTCCAGGATGACCTCAGAGAACAAACACAACATGGATTTACCAGCAGGCACAGGACAGTCTTTTGCATTTCCACTGCTGTTCTACAGCGTCTCAGACAAAGCTGCAGTTCCCATAGGCTCAGATGACACCTCTAGAAATGTGACGGATCAGTGCATCTTGCAGAGCAGTGAAGCTCAGAGTAGGTTGACTTTGGGTAGTGTTACTGGGGCGAGGGGCCAGATCTACATTGCCTATTTCTCTCTCTCTCTCTTATCTGATGCTTTTTCCTCTCTCTTGCCACCATGCTTGTTATAACATGCCACATTATCTCAAGCCAACTTGTTGACGTGGAAACCAGCTTTAACCCCTGATTACCTTGCATGTAAACAAATCAACGTTGTGATAAAAGAATATTAAATGATTTCAGTCAAATTTAAAGAAGTAAAGTAAATGGTGCTGTGTTGTGCTACTCTAAAAATATATATTTTTAAATAAATTATATTTTCTTCACCTTTATTCAAATGAATCAGTTTTTTTAACACACACACACACTTTTGTCCTAATTTTTTTTACAATATTATAAACCATAAATATTTTGCTCTTTTAATTTACTATATATTTATTAATTAGTACTTCAATTAAAAGTGTTGCAGTAATGCAATAAAAAGAAGAAGTGTCTATTTTCAGGGTTTCTGCAGGTTTCATCAAGTCAAATTTAAGACTCAGGATTTAAGGGTCCTTTTTTGGACTCTTTTAAGACCATTATGAATGAAATTTTAGACTTATTCAGGGCTAAACACTAATGATTATTTCTAATGGCGCAGTTGGGGCAATGGAATTTTTTTTTTTCTTGCCACAAAAAAAAAAAAATCTAAATGTAATTATTTCTTAGAAACATACTTTAATGTGTTAAAATAAAAATAAAAACTCTAGTTGTATACACTATTTTCAACGCAATATATATTTTTTAAACGAAACATTTAGAGGCCGATCACACCGAATGCACTTTTTGCATTAAGAGGCGCTTTTTTGAATGATTTTGGGGGCCAATCACACCGAACAAGCTTTATGAATTGAGAGGCACCTTTTTGAATGGTTTACTAACGACTTTGAGTGTTTTGTGCGCTGCTTAAGCATCCTTTTCACAGTTGAAAAGAAGTCAACTCTGGGCAGAATAAGCGTTACATCCCTTGCGTCTATTTCATTCTCCAATCAAATGAAAGCAGAAGCGGCCTTTCCGTAGAGGTGCCTGCAGTGTTTGTGTTGTCAAGACGACAACGGAGACTTTTGAAAATGAAGGAGAGAGTTGTGGTTTCTGTTTTGAGTTATCTGGAGCTATATGACTTTACAAATCGTGAATATCACAATATGATTAAATGTTGAAACTATATTAATATCAACAGCAACACTCTTACACAATACCCAAGCTGATTCAGTCGTTGTCAAGTGACATAAAAAGGCGAACTGCCCTTCCCTTTTTTCAACAAAATCTGCAGTGTGGTGTGCCTCGCGTTTTTGTAACATTAATGCGCGTTCGGTGTTATCGCCCCTTAACATTGCTAAAGAATATTTATTGTGGAAGCAATTACGGAAATATTTAAAAATATATATTTGATGGCTTTTGGTCCAAATTAGTTAAGTATAACTTCTATTCAACCTATTGCATTTCTGTATAACACGAGGAACTGTGTAATTGTTTTTAGTATTATTTCCTTGTTTTTATTAAGATGGTTTGCTGGTGATCGGATGGATGGATAGATGGATGTCGGCCCAGTTGGGTAGCTTTGCTTGGACAGAGGAATATTAAGACCGGTTTAAAATTATTTAGGACATACAACCCAATATTTTAGTGAATTTAACATTTTTTGACATTTCCTGATCACTTACAAATTTATATATTGCCATTTGTGTAATTGCACTGTATAAAGGCTTAGTAGTATTGCAAACTTTCAAAGTTGTGAAGGAGTAGCAATGTTCAAATATTTCACTGGGAGTGTATTTAGCTGGTTATATGATGGCATCAAAGTCAAGACAACTCAAATGCATTAATTTGGTTATAAAAAAAAGTAATGGTAAATATATGACTAAATGTAGTAAGCAAAAAAACGTTTCTTGATTGCAGTGCAGAACACACACACACACACACACACACACACACACAAAAATTGTTACACATAATGCTACACATTATGCAACTGGATAAGTTTTCATTGCAGCTTTTAGTCACTTTAGACAGTTTATGATAAACTGGTTAGGAGTAACTGCGGTAATGCTTGAGACAAGCATGGTCATTAAGCGGAACTTTGGGGAAATTTATTGGTAGGAAGAACTTTTTACTCCGTGCCTACTGAACTAAGTGCAGAATGTTCTAAGACGTAAAGTTTTAGAGACATGTTCTGTTTTGAGCTCAATTTATGCTCATAACTTTTAATTAATGTTAAGTGAGAACACATGTAGACTGTTTTTACTGTTTGTTCAGCTTGGTGATAAGGCTGCATTTTGGGCCTGATGCTCGAAGATCTTTACTATGTAATCAGAGTTCTTTGATTATAGTTGAACTTGTCAGCCAAACATATGCACACTCACTCACTCATTCACTCACTCACTTACTCTCAAGCACACACATCATATGTGTAAACTACATATATTTAGTGTGTGTGTGTGTGTGTGTGTGTGTGTGTGTGTGTGTGTGTGTGTGTGTGTGTGCATGCATGTGTATAACTGACAAGATCAGTTCACCTAATTTTTTAGAGTAAAAAAAAAGTAAGAACATTTAGCTTGAGAAAACAAAAGTAAATGATGACAAATGAAAAATGTTGGATAAAGGAAGCTGCTCACTTGCACTACTTTCACAAAAAATTCATATTTATGGCTTTGGTATTACCACAAATGAATTGCAGCAAATATTTAATCAGTTAAAGAACTTTGAAACTTGTGTTTGAAAACAAAATCAATTAAAAAGCACTGGGCTGGTCATAAAAACACAAAGCAAATGGCCCTTCCAAAAAGATTAATCTGACATTTCCCCCAAATGTCCAATAAAATTGGTTTGATCAGTCACATTGACTCAGTTTTATTGCCCAGCAGCACTTAAAACAAAGCACAATAACCCCCTATAAATAATGAATCAGCTTCATTAAGCTTTGTGGCCACACGTACGCTATTAAACATCTCACTGACGGAAGAAATACACTTTAGAGGAAATTTTGCAAGAACTTTCTCAAGTCAAATAAGGCAAGTTCTTGACACACAGTTTTGTGTATGTTTAATAGCTCACGTGACTAATGACATTCGTGTCAACATCTTCTGTGCAAGCCTGAAGTGCTTCTGGCACAAGGCCCGGCGCAGAGCTTTTCTGTTTAGACTCCAATTTAGTGTTTGAGTGCAGATTTCCCGCTGGAGCACAGCTCTTGTGTGATCCAACTACATTATTTTGCAGAGGGAAGTGTGTCTAACCTCAGACTGAGTGGGCAAATGACGCGTTTGTCTGCAATGATGCAATTTCAGCTGAACAAGGTGTTGAAAAGAACTACTATTAGAAAGAAAAGGGTCAACGGCACTGAGAAGTCTTTCAAAAGCACACCGTTGTCTTGTGGTTTCGATGTGCGTCTGTAAGTCAGAATATATTAAGGGATTTAGTACCTTCATGTAAGACGTCTCGAAGTGTGACTCTCTCTCTGGAAATGGCAATGTCTTTAACCTTTGCTTTGGCCTCAAGGAGTGTTACACTTCTCAAATCATTCTTCTCTATCCGCAGAGATGGATAACCTGAAATCACACACAAACACACACACACAGAAACACGCCTCATTAAATTAAGTGTTGGAAATGCACAATAGAACTAATTAAAAATCTGTGTAATGACAGACAAATCTAAACAATGTCGAATCAGGGAATGACAGAGGTTTGCAGTGTTATTTAAACAACTGGAAGTATCTAGACACTTCATCAATGGAGTAAAACCGCAGCTTTGCCAAAGGCAAACACTGCAGTGTCACTCTTGCACAACATGTTTTGGTGTGTAACTGATTTAATCACACAGTTATACACAGTCAATTGTATTAGATGTTTAGAGAACTGGAGTATTTCCTTCTCTAATTCAGCTGCAGTGTAGGTTAAAATACACAAGCACAGAATGTATTGTGAGCACAAACACAAGAACAACGTTTTTTTTTTGTTTTGTTTTTTTTTTTAAGTTTGGTTGTGTAACTTAATAAAACAATTACATTGTAAAACTTTTATCCTCATGCATGTGTTTATGTTTCAGAATAATGTTTATAATCAATACCTAACCGTGCTTTATGGTAAACATGATATTAGTGATTATAGTAATACAGCTGATTATGAATACAGAACAAAATGCAAATATACTCACATCAGCACAAATAGCCAGTGTTCTTGTATTCATTTGGACTAAATTGCTACACTCGTACTACACATGTATGATGCTGCCCCCATGTGGTTATTAACAGCGTTTCTGCAAGTTTCACCAACTTAAATTCAAGACACTTTTAAAACCATTATGAATACAATTTTAGACTTACAAAAGGCTAAATGCTAAGGATTTCTTAGTCGAATATCCCAGTTGTAAAAGACTTTCACTTGTCCAATCAAAAATGATTAAAAATTAATACATTTACTAATTCAATAAAAATTTTGTTAGATTTTTTTGTAATTAATTTTCAAATATATTCAAAGCATAGCTGTCTATCACATTAGTCTACAATACTAATTATGAGATTTAAGACATCTTAAAATCCTGCGGATACCCTGTATTAAGGATATCTAATGTAAGGTTGCTAATATCTGATGCAAGTCTAAACTGACCCTTAAAACTGCAAACTAAAATAATTATGTGATGATTTTCACAAAGTACAACTGTTTTAATAATAATAATAATAATAATAATTATTATTATTATTATTATTATTATTATTATTATTATTATTATTATTAAATGAGAAGTAATGTTTCTTGTGAAACAGATTAACATTAGACATTAGATTAACATTTTTTTATTTTTACATTCATTTAAAAAGGAATTCATTACCATAAGTGAGGGACAATGTACATATAGCCAGTTGAGGCTTAACAAACCTAGAGGCTTATCTAGTGAAGTGATGGCCAAACTAGGGCCCGCGGGCCAAATTTTCCCATGGTATTCTTTGATTTGGCCCGCCATCATATCTGAGAAGAGTGGGAGAATAATAGGGATGTTTTGAGATTGTACATTTTAATTTAAATGTAACCCTTTATTTGTTATTTTATTGTTAAAAGCTAACTGAAAATTAATGATTGAATTAAATGGCTTAAATTAATCAGATTTTGTTTAAATGTACATACTGTCACCCAACAATACAGAGACTTTGGTGAGCAAATCGAGTCAAAGGCAGATTCTGCTTGACTAGTGCATTCAGCATGTCACAGTGTTATAAAAGTGATTGTTTATATTGCAATGAGTTATAAAATTTTTTTCTGCATTAGTTAATACAAATTAAAGTAATGTTTTCTATTTATTTGAAAATATTATGAAAGAAATTAGGTTTGGTATATGATGAGATCGGGCATTGCATATCGAGCATATGTACCTTAAATTAAAGTTTTGGTATATTTACCTTCAGCCCACAGCTCTCAATAATATTTGGATTTTGGCCCTTTGTATGAAAAAGTTTGGGCGCCCCTGATCTAGTGGATATGTCTAGTGGATATGCAGTGCAAGTTAATCTGTCAAAAAGTGCAAACCGTCCAAAACTACTCAAATTTCAAAAAGTCTGACAACTCAAAGTAGAATGAGTTAGGAGTGAGAATGTTCGGCTGAACAGTGACAGTTTCATGACATCAAAATATGATCATCCTTTGTGTCATCATAAAATTTAAATACAACTGCAAAGTTTATTGTATAAAAACCAAAGTAACAGGGAAAAAAGTGAAAATGATAAATTGCTCAAAAAACAGAGTTTGAAAAAACCTAGGAATTAAGACAATACAAAAAAATACTAATTATATTTAGTCTTTGTTCAGTGTCACTCAATGTGCAGAATTAAAAGAACGTCCTGCCTAAACATTCTGTTTCTACAGTAAGAGTATCTAAAATAAACATATGTTTTAAGTTAAAGGTGCAGTGTGTAAATTTGACACCCAGTGGTTGAACGTGGTATTGCACTCCTAGATCAAAACAAACGTAGGTTGCCAGATTGAGAACAGGAGCGCGTGATTTAAACTGTATTTTAAATAAAAGCAACAACACCCAATAGAAGGAATATTTTTCATATTAAAAGGAGTTTAACCTAACCAACATCTCAAATTGATATATTAGAAAAGGCTTCTATTTCTCACAGGTGAACAACAGAAAACTATGTCAATGATTAACTCAGGTACACCTCATGTGCTTTATTCAGTGTTTAATGCTAACAATGCGAGTCTGAATGCCATTTTACTTGACATTTTTTGCCAAAACACTGAAAGCAGCAGTAGATAGTTAACCTCAGATCTTGAAAATAAAATGTACTTTGAAATTGAACTTTAGAGCTAAACGCATGGTGGTTCAACATGTACATTTAATAATGTTAAAGAGGATTAATATGTATTAATTAGATTATAAACCTTTGCATTTCATGAGTGAGTGCATATTCTGTGCTTCTGAATAGCTTTATTTTAATTTCTGTCCTGTTTTGTCTGGTGCAAACAGCCAAATTGCTCATCACTGTGCATCTCGTCACGAACCGTTATGTTGGGACACGTGGTTACAATGTGTAACATGCTCACCTAATGTTCATAATAATTATATCATTTATATATTAATAATTTGATGTTCATTTTTAATATATTAATACATTTATTAATAACCTCATTTGCAACTGAATCTGTCACATTTCATAGTCTGCTACTGTCCACCGAGATCAGATTTCAGTCACGGACGCATGCTTTGAGAGCCTTTCTGACTGATTGAATGAAATATGCAGTTTTTCACCAAGGCAACCCATGGTGTGGAAAATAATTGGCTAAACTGGCATTGGGTGGGTTAAAAGAAAAAAACAAAGACAGACAGTCCGGCACAGAACATATGTTCAAAGCAGAATATCTGACTATAGCATTGTGTTTCAGATAAACAAGATTGTTCATTTGGCAAGTTTCTTCAATATCTGCAAACATATTATGCTATTTTTTGCTTTAGAAGAGTCAAAAACTTACATTACTGCACCTTTAAATAAACCATACATTTATAAAAAAAATAATTCTACTGTCAGAACCATAATAGACATAAAGAATGAATTATTTTACCCCTAACAAATTTATATATATACAATTTACAAAAGCTCAGTGAAGACCAGTAATAACAACAGGATGGTGATAGAGAAGAAACCAGATTAAAAGCTGAAGGTTAGTGAACATGATGAAGTCTGTTGCTTTCTCTTTCAGCCACACAGCAGCCAACTTACTTTTGGTTTCGTGCGAGGGGGCACCGGGGTGAGGGAAGGAGGCGCCTGCAAGCTGGAGCATGGGTGCAGAGCCAGTTTGAGCATCTGATAGTGGAAGGAAGGGGGTGGAGGGATGGCAGAGTGAGGAAGGGGGAAGAAAGATGGAGAAAGGTACATGAAGGATGGATATTCATAGCAGGTAGATGATGCCTGAACTATTCCACACAAGAGCGAGGCAAGAAAACATGAAATGGTGCACCAAGCGTGTAGAGCACTAGGGGGTGCTACACACAATGAGTACGCCACATTATTTCACTCAGGCTGATTTCTCCACCATTAAGTATTCACAATCATTCAGATTGTTTTTTTTTTATGTTGTGGTTTTATAGTTATTCCTGTAAAGCCACATTTCTATATAAAGCACTAAAAAAGTAAATATTATTTGTTGTGTTGATAAAAGACGGGCTAACTTAACAGAACATGAATGAAGGTAATGTAACTGCATGGTTTATATACTAAAAATTGTTTGCACGCTAAATATGCTAAAATAGATCATGTACTGCATTTACAACACTTTCTTCTTTTTGTTTTTATACAAATATGTGTATCATGTGAAAATATTTCAGATGCCTTATACTGCTGGAGTTGTTATGGCATCTAAATTAACTGTCACCATTTCCTGTCTTTTACTAACAACAACTTCTTCCTTCCAACTGTTCAATTTATGAATCTTTCTGGAGCAATTTTTCCACAATGACCATGTGTTAGTTCAGAAGGGAAAAATACTTTGTCCTTTTTAACCTTTTGAACACATTTGACTAACAGCATTTACATTATGCAATTGTATTGTCTGGACGAGGTACAAAATACACAAGTGTAATGTAAAAAGTGTAAGTAGTGTAAATGTTTACACCTGTATTTAGCGTCATCCATTTGTGACTGGGTTAACACAAACATTAATACCAATTGTAAACAGCACATTTGACTATCTCACAGACAATTTTTTAAAAACATTTCTGTTTATTTTAAACTTGTGCTATGTGTTGTCTATAATAAATAAAAAAATAAAAAAATGGGTTCAATAATATATTTGAATAGACAGTATTTGAATTATATACAGTACTTTGCAAAAGTCTTTGGCCACTAGTATTTTCACCAAAATAAAAAATAAAAGATTTAAAGTCAGGTCTTTCTGTAATTGTCTGTAGCATATTAGTTTGAAATATTTACATTTCCAAACAATAATTTTGTCAAAGATTGTAATTATACAGTGAGATTATTGTCTGCACAAGAATCACATCTGCTCATCATCCAGTCTGTTTGGAATGACATGATAAAACAGAACAAAGTGGGACAAACTAAATCCTGAAGAACTTTGGCGACATCTCTGTTTGGTGAAAATACTAATACTTTTGCACAGCACTGTATATTTGAATCAATTTTAAAAAGTGATTGAGCAAAAGCTGCGATTGTCATGAAAATCTTTTTTAGGGAAGCATGGTGGTGTCATTAGCATTAAATCTCCTCTAAAGGCTAGATGATGCTCTCTGGCAGAAATTCCAAACATCCATAGGGTTGCATTATAAAGACTCAATCATTTTGATTCAGCATGACTAATCATCACACATCTGCAGAATCATCTCACTGCTGGTGTTATCTTAAACACCTAACTGAAATTATGAAGTATGGAATAAAAACATGCTATTATATGTGGTATTTTCATGTGCAGCATTTATACATAAAACCATAGCTCACTGATAAACTATACAAACTGCTGTCATCACAGATCATGATCATGATTTGATTATCATCTGATTAAATAGATTCCAAACACAATTTTGAACAAGAAACTGCATTACTGACAAAATGCACAAAAAAATCACCTTCAGTTACTGGCTCAGCCCTACATATACATTTATGAAAACACATTATAAATAATATAATAACTAATATTAATTCTAACCCTGATAGCACACAAATGTACAGTCTTAACAGCATGAAGCTGCCATCAATGAATAGCGCACCCTGCTTTCAGCTAATAAATACAGAAAAACAGCCATGCCTAGATCCAGCCTTGCTGTAAATACTTTTCATACACTGCAGATTAGGAAAGTATTCAATTTTGGATTCAGGGAGTGACACCAGTTGGTGAAAGACTAATGCATGAATAGCTTAGAGAAATTATGTTTGAGACCTACATGAATTAAGAAGTTCTAGAACCATTTTGCAAACAAAACTTGGTTTGACATTTCTTCATCTAATTTAATAATGCTCCTATTGTGATTTCTTTAAAAACTGGAGCCAGTGCGTATTTAAACTCATGGGATCTCCTGGCAAAAGTCCACTAATGGGAAGTTTCAGGGAGGTTATCAACCCGCGTTTCAGCTCTGCCTAAAAGAACTCTAATTTTATCTCAATCTGGTGATTTGAGGGAAAGTAGAAACTCGCCCACTAAGAAAACAGTGACTGTTTTAAAAGTGTGGAAACATCCTGTTGATGTGGACCTATTTAGGAAAAGAGGGTGGAGGTGACTATCCAAAGCTGGCCTGTCTCTAAAGGTGGAAGAAAAGACAACTACCCAAGTGTAAAGAAATGCCTCTAACAAGGTACTATGAATTGAAAGCAAATTATTGAGTAAAATCAGAGATGGAAAACACTTTGTTAATGTACTTAAGTAGATTTTTCTGGTATCAGTACTTTACTCCACTATTTATTTTTCTGACAACGTTTTACTTTTACATTTTTCACAAATATGTATACTTTCTACACCTTACACTTTTAAATCGGGCTCATTTTTGTGTTTGGTGGCACAAGCTATTTTATTTCTTGTCATTGCGCAAATTGAACGCCTTTTTGATTGTCAAACTATCTTTCATTGCGCTTATATGTGCTGCAGTGTGCGCTTTTTTTTAACCTCTGATTGCGCACCATAGGCTTGTTTATTTAAGCTTACCAAAGGAACTGCTAAAGCCTGGTTTATACTTCTGCGTCAAGTGACCGGCGTAACCCACGGCGCAAGCAACGCCCGTAGCTGTGCATTTATACTTCTGCACGCTGTCTCTGTTGGTCTGCATTAACACTTCCAGAACGCTAGTTGGCAGTGAGGTGTAAATGTTCCTCTGTGTCAAGTTTCTTCGCTGCTGTACTGCTTTTCCTGAATACTTCCTGGATGTACAAGTGGCTCAAACTCGCTCATTTTGAGGCAGGAACCGGCGGACGTGCAACAACTTTAACCATGAGGTAAACACAAAACAAAACTTTCCATCCGGAGCTCCTTCATGGAACTACACACTTGTAAACAATCGCTCCATCAGGCTCGCACCATTCGCGCAGCTCTCAATCCCGCCCAGACTCGTCAGCGCTACCAAGCCGACCAATCACAGAGCTTGCGCTACGCGCCGTGTAGTTAAAATTAGAGAGGTGCACGTCAGCGACGCTGACAGCCACGGCGAAGGGCTATGCGTCAACGCCATAGCATACACCGGCGTTTGATGCAGAAGTATAAATCAGCCTTAACATGGATGAGACATCCATGTCTGATGTTTACACGACTATTGTCCTGTTTATACCAGGTAATAAGATGCATTTTGATCGATCAGATCACAAATAATGAGGTTTATTTACTTTGTTTCTAACGATTTAATATTTCCGAGTACAGAATTTAGTTTTATAGGTTTAACATGTATATTATATTTACACTGTAGTCTTATTTAAATTTGTTAGACAGATTGATAGATAAATATTTTAGAACATCAATAGTATTTTTACTAGGTAATTTATAAATAAAAATGTAATTAATCGATGACTATGTTAAATTCAACATACATAAATCTGAAAATAAACAAAACAAAAAACAAATGAAAAGTGAAATATTGTGAGCTGCTAGATTGTGCTGTTTGAAGACAATACAGCAGCTTTAGCATATTGCAAAAAAATATTTGTAGTCAAATACATTCAGTTTTTTTTTTAATTTTATCAAAGGAAAAAAAAATTTTGGACAATGTAGACATTTATTAGTTATAAATAAAGTATAGGCAGAATGATTACGTTTTAGAATATACGAATGCCAGCTGTTGTTCTTAACAGTCATAAAGTTTGTGTCTGGGTAATGATAGACAGGGCACCTTTATAAGCGGTGTTGTTGGACAATATTGTAGAGTTGCTTAGGATAATGAAAAATTGGTAAAGTTTTTACAAAAATATTAGAAATGCAAGTTATTTTGTATGTATGTATACATGATGTGTGGAGTAGTTACACCCATGAAACTAAAACAAGTTGTAGAAATTAATACTTTTTACTTTAGTACTTATTTCAGGCTATATGTCTTTACTTTTACTTGAGTACTAATGTGGAGTCAGTACTTCAACTTTTACGAGAGTCGATTTAAACATGAGTATCTGTACGTCTACTTGAGTAAAGGATGTGTGTACTTTTGCCATCTCTGAGTAAAGTACTACATGACTTTTGAGCTATTGTGATGGGATGTGAAAACATTGATTGCATGTATACTAGTATCAGTCAACTTTGAGTCTAAACTTAAGGTCAAAAGTATGGAGTGGGAGATGTTTGGAGAACGCCTGTTTATTCCAACCTTCTGATTCCAGTTAAGCTAATTTGATCATTCGCTTCCAATTTTCTTATTTATAATGGAATGCACATTTAGTGTAAACAGGACAAGACAAAATGCAGCCAGAGGTGCGAAATTTAGAACAATTTAGCATCCTTGGCCATAGGAAGCAAAGCATTCTGGTGTTATTTATTTGCTCTTGGAGCATTATCTGGGGCAGCGAGGCAATAGTTGACAGAGATGGGTTTTCTGGCATTTTAAAACATGGAAAAGGAATGCAGATGGTTACGACAGATGGTTGAGATGTTTGAGAGAGTTGCTAATCTAAGTGGCATGGTGTGGTCTTTAGCTTACTTGTGACAGGTGTAGCATTGTTGGGGGTGTCTGCTCTCAGGTACTGGGTGGTCTGGGTGGAAGGCTGAGACAGACCTTGAGAGCTTCCACTGTCACTGACGCTAAAAGAAAAATAGGGGAAAAAAGTATATTACTTGCAGAATTAAAATGCACCTACTGACAGGTATTTTAGCATATACAGCTAGATGATATGGCAATCTCGATTTATAATTATTTTCCATATTAAAAGATATCGATATATATTTTGATACAAGTTGTTAATGCTTCCAGATTTAAAAAGAGTTTGGCAACAATAACTGAAGCCACAAAATTGAGAGAGTCTATTAAATGGCATAACATATTTTTGTTCGATAATTCAGTACATCTCTATTATCAAAACACTTCTAGCTTTCCATTGTTGCATACATCTGCTGTGTGATTGGCTCTTAGATTAATATAGAGTTAAAGAAGTCCAGAGCTTATCATTGTTAATCACATAAGTTTTATAGCGATTTGATATATTAGCATTTATGGGCCCAGCCCTAAGTTCAAGTCAGAATTATTAGCCCTCCTCTGATTTTGTTTTCTTTTTCAAATATTTGCCAATAGTGTTTAATAGAGCAAGGACATTTCCTATATTTTTCCTATTTTTTCTTTATTTTTATAAAAAAAAGTCTTATTTGTATCATTTTGGTTAGAATAAAAGCTGATATATTTTTTAAACCATTATAAAGGTCAATAATATTAGAAATAAATATATCTATTTTTTTTTTGATACAGAACAAACCACTGTTATACAGTGACTTGCCTAATTACCCTAACTTGCCTGTTTAACCTAATTAACCTATTTAATCCTTTAAATTGCACGTTTAGCTGAAAAATATGCAATACATTTTGTACTATCACCATGGCAAAAATAAAAGAAATCAGTTATTAGAAATTAGTCATTAAAACTACTATGTACTATTTGGGGGGAGGGGGGGTCAATTCTGACTTCAAATGTATTTTCCACTTACAGTAATCTAGATTTTGTCAGTGGAAAAAAACTGCCTTTTAGTTTGAAATAGCTTCACTGGCTCTTTTATAATCAGATGAATCTATTTTCTCAGAAGGTGTTAGACTTAACTTGGCCTGAACTCTTAAGCACTAAAGTGAATTTAAAACTAAGTGCTGTGTAATTGTCTTAATTAAAGCCATTGGACTTCAACTATAAAGGTTAAACACTGAGGCCCTGGAGAAATGGTCAAATGATGCAGACTTAACCTGCGTCCTGAAACTCATTGAACCTAATCATGACTCATCATCATCATTATTATTTTGACAAATGATAAATATTACTGATTTCTTTTGGTCTACTATTATTTGGGCTATGACTCAATATGCTAGTGGAAATTATACTGGTTCTAGAGTTGATCAATTATAAAAGATAAATGGTGCTTTGTGCCTCATCTTAAGAAAAGCAGATAAAATCGAATCTGCCACCCTTATATAATCCTTAAAAAAGGAAAACCTTTGTACAGAGGCCTAATTCAATTTCAGAAAACACAATTAAAGTACTCAGTGGTCTGGTATGAAATTAGATTTTTCCCCTCATCTTTTCAGACAAACTCTTTTTTTACTCAATGCAAAAAAATTAGGGTTGAATTAGGGTTGCAGTGTTGCCTAGGTTATAGTTAATCGTGATGGTTTTTTTTAAGCCTTCGACTGTATAAGAATTTAAAAAGCACACAGGCCTAAGAAATTGTACCATTTGTAACTTTAACTATTCATTTTATTGAATTATTTATAGGTTGTTTTTACATAAGGCTACTGATGATGCGCAAAATTCAGATGGAGGGCAAAAAGTGCTTCTTCTACATAGGAATCGTTATCAGAACAACAAAATGTTTCTGTTTTATGTTGTTTTTAATTGTTTGAATCAGCCAAAAAAAGAAACGATGAACAGCTTTTATAGATTTCCAAATGTTTTTGCTCATGAAGGGCGGAAAGTTCAAGAAACTGACTAAAAAACAGAAGGAAAGGCGGCATGTAATCAAAATTTATTTAATACATCCACGTGTATACGCTTTTTTTGAACGTGATAATTCATTTGACAGCACCAATAAAGATTATATACAAGCCTAGCTATGTGTATAAATAACGTGTTATATAAAAATATAGAAACATATACCACACTTACAATAAATTTCAAATAAATTTCATTCCCTGCCATGTAATCGCTATGAAACATCTGTCTTGTTTTGCATTGATCCATGTCTTTACTGGAGTTTTGGTGGAATCAACAACCATAACGATGCGTCTAAATGCGCAGCAGCGGTGAATTTTTGTTGATTGAAAGTGGATTGACCAAACACAGAAGAAATGCAACACTAGACGGTTATTATTGTGGAGCACTTTTCCCCCTTACAAAAATAAATGTAGACTATGCGTCCACACTTTTGTGTGCTTTCATCTGTTATTTTCTCATGTCTGGAAGATATCCACATGGAAGAAAAACTATAGTTATTTATAATAAAAATGTTTTAGACCGTCATAGTAAAGTGTATAATGTGTACAACTCTTTTTTTAATGAATGCTGCTGGCATAGTAAAATTACAACCTGTTACAAATACTGTAACGTTAGTATAAACTCTGGTGTATTGTGATGGTGTATAATTATAGACACAAAAGCCTATTAAATAATTTGTTTATAACCATAGTAGTGTTGTAACACAGCAACAATATAATTACTACTACAGTTTAATTCAAGTGGTTATCTACACCGTAAAACCCAACAGCCAACTTTACCAAATGAAATGAGTGTGGTTAACTCAAAAAACTACTGGAAGCTAATTCTACTAATTTGAAAAAGGTTTTGAACTTAGTGTTGAAGGTAATGAGTTAATTAAATATCTCATTACTTCAACATAAATGGAGTAAGTTCACAATACTCATTTAGATTAGTTTTTTTTTAACTAACTTATTGGGTTTTACAGAACTCAGTTGGTTTGAGTTCCCTTCATTTATTGGGTTTTACTGTGCTCAAATTGCTTAGCTTACTCAAATGGATTAAGTTCACAGAAGTCATTAGGATTCATTTTTGAACTTAAATAGTTTGTTGCAATCTGTTTCCTCAAATGATTTAAGTAATCTTAACTTTTAGGGTTTTACAGTGTAGTACACTATAGTATTTACTGTAGTATTTTTTTTCATAAAAATCGCAAAAATGAGGACTTTCCTCTACGTCTCCCAATTAGTTTTTTTACTTCCTGCCCTCCATATGAATTTCGTATATCACTAGAACCACGTGATTGAAAACAACCTAAAAAACAAAGAATAAGCAGTATTATTTTACATTTGATTATTTAATGACTGTATACATGAATACTGTTAGACTCCTCAGATATCAAGAAAACATTTTTATTTCACTTGTATTTTTTATTTTTGGAATTTATTTATGCTTGTAGAGTGTTTTTTGCAGATGCACACAATCTAAAATGATAAATTCTTTCCAAATAGAGATAGTCATCTGGTGAAATTGTATTCATAATGCAATCTATAAATCGCAGAAAAAGATAAATACTGCAATTTCAGATTCTTCCAACTTTGTGCAGCCCTAATCTGAACAAATGTTGAAAAAATATTGAAACCATAAGAGCAAAAGAGCAGAAACTTTATAAAAACAAATCTGCACTAAGTTACTAACAAGCAGACAGTTTTAGTGTACTGAACACACACACACAGACACACACCTGTCATCCATTTCCACCCTCTTCATGCTGTGGAGGTGCAACACAGCGAGGATGATGGCTACCAGGAAGATGACGATGCAGCAAACACACACACTGATGTAGAAAACTCGTGTGGATGTGGTCGGAGCGTTCGGACTGCTCGCTATGAGACAAATCGTGAGAAGGTTTACAAGGGCAGAATGAAAGAAATTCTACACTGAGAGGAACATTATTCAAAATAGCTAAAAGATATATCCCAAACTCTCACCATCTATTCTCTGTATGGTTGTGTTTGGGAATGGCAGAGTTTTGGGGGGCTCTGGCTGCTCTATTCCTGCAAAGTAAACACAAGGATCAGCAAATAAAGTGACGTATTAGACTCCTTTTACACAGGGATTAAAAATGATATGACTTGTCACAATGTATGCAAGTCTAACATCACATTTTCTTCCCCAAGGAATTATTATAATAATGAGAGCATTTTCCTTTAAGTAAAATAATGTTTTTGCCCTGTTGATTTAGGGGTGACATATGACATCATCTTGATGGGTCTCGTGAGATTCATCTGAACGCAAGAACTGGTTGATTGTGGTTTCGTTTATGTTTGGTTTGTAAATCGTTGCCAGTAAAACAGTAAAATCTTGCTCCTTTCAAACAAAGTGTAAGACACATAATATCTTCTTGAGCACCACATACACATGACCCAGTTATTCCACAAGAGGGAGGAAATTGGGGCATACACAAACTCTTTTTCTTCTCCACCAGCTAATTTGGCTCATGTGCTTCAAATAAGCAGAGAATAAATTCACTGGCTATTTCCTCTGGGAAGCATATGACGAGTTATTATCATCATCTCTGCGTGTCAAGTTTCACATTATCAGAGACTTCAATCTGTCAAATACACAAACTCACAGCTTTCTATTAGGAGGAAAAATAAAATACATAAAACACTTACTGAGGTCTAAAGAAACAAAGACTAATTTGGGGAGTTAATAAGGTAAAACATGAATGAAAAGTACTTACTTCTGTAACACATTTTCCTGCGTTTGAAGTTGAGCACTGTAAAGTTGGCTGCTGTAGAGAGGTTGAGCTGCACTGTTAGCACAGCCTCTCCATCAGCCTTGCCAGAGCAGAAAAGGTCCACTCGAAACACTACAAGGATAGAGAAATACAGTAAGTATATTTACCGAATGTCTGAACTTGATTATATTCAGTATGAAAGCTGTAAACAATAAACCAAGGGCCTCGTTTTGAACTTTTTAAATGACTAAAGCCTGCTCGTTGTTTGTGCTGGCACATTCGTTATGTCATTATGTCAGCTCCTACTAACTTGCACAAAAAATTTCATAACCTGTATGTTCTGCATGAAAACGGTGTACAATTTTTTTATGGGTAGTTGACAAACAGTCTAATGTTTGACAAAATATAAGTGGCCATTAACTTTATCAATTCTTTCAGTTCTCTTTGACTTTTTACAGAACTGTCCAATGGTGTGACTTGTACAAATTAAGAAAACTACTTAAATAATATAAAATTTAAGTATAATGATAATATACAATTTAACATACAACTTTAAAAACAACAACTTAATAATATACAATTTATCTTTCTCATCTTTGTATAGTCCTATTTATTTGATATAAAATTATGATTTTTTTTCTCCAAGTCTTTTCAGACATTGTCAATAAATAGGGGTGTCACAAATTTTTATTTTATAGCGAGTCCAAAAATATACAGATAAAAAAAAATGTTGTCAATTACAAAAATATCCACTTGAAAAATTAGGCCTGGTGTATCATTATTTATTTTGATTTTGACTACAAAAAAAGTTAATAACAGCAGTTTAGACAACAAGATGTCAAAAGACATTGAAGAAATTGAAAACAGAAATGGTTAATCTCCTACTGAAATTTAAAATGATGACTTACTAATTATTATTCATTTTTGTCATGTTTGACAATGATAATGCAATGTCACATCAAGAACCCATGTATGTAAATGCATTTTTTAGACCACCAAAGATAGAGAAGCAGATAGACTTTATGAAAACCCTTAACAGTGGTTAGCATAAACAGTATTTGCATGCTTTCCACGTGGCATTGAGATTTTTATCTTTGCTACTGCATTTTATCAAGTACAAAGCAATTACAAGAGCACTTAGGCGAGAGACATAGACTAGAGATTCCTCTCTCTGATATTCATGTTTTATAAGCACCAACAGAATTTTGCAGCAGTTGGCATGACCAAAACTTGGGTCTCAATTGTCATAAATGTAGTAAATGCACACCCTATTCTGAGGCAGAACACATCAGAAAACAAAGTCATTTTTACATTTTTTTTTTTTGTGCACATAATTGCTTTTTTAAATTTGTGTTGAGCTATTTTATTTTCACAATGTTATTGGTTCCATCTCTGTACTGTCATCATCTATAAAGGAGTTCAAAGAGCTAAATCTGAAATATTATAAAGGGGACCTATTATGCCTCTTTTTACAAGATGTAAAATAGTCCCTAGAATTTCCTTGTCAAGTTTCATCTCTAAATAGCCACAAATAATGCTTTTTAACTCTTTGAATCTGCTACTTTTAGGCTTTGATCTTAATTGTGCCATTTTAGTCACTGACGCTTTAAAATTCAAATGAGGTACTCCTAGCCCTCTTTTTAAAAGTCAGAGATGAAAATGCCTGTTTGTTAGCAATATCCTATGTTAATGAGGGAGAGATCATCACTAATGGGTGAGGCTTTCCCCCTCTGGTGACATGTACAAAGAGAAATGTCAATCAAAGTGTTTCTGCAGAAACTTGTTTTTATGAAGTGTGATTATAAAATGAATACACTTTTACCATTAGAAACTGGTTATATTCACACACTGTTGCCAAACTACTCTGTTGAAAGTGATTTTTGCGTAATAGTTTCCTTTTAATTTGTGTTCTGAAGATGAATTAAGGTGTCAGGGATTGGAAAAACATGTGGATTTTAGGGGTAAACTAATCCTTTAAGGTATAACATAGCACATTTATATATAAATACAAAACAATTAAGAATAATTTTACAAAAAGTAGCAAGTATTTTTTAAGAGAAGATCTTAAAGTATTTAAAAGTTGAGACACTTTTTGTTTTTGAAAATCTAGATGATTGTTGTTACTTACACCACATATTATACTCAAAACGCAACAGGGAGTAAAACTAGAAAAACAAAATCTCACACCTGAACGAGTGCGTGGAACTTCCCCCTGCACAGAGATGTTGCTTTGAGGTTGATCCATGGCTGAAGTGTTTTCCACGTGAAACCCCAACCGGTAATCCACCTGTGCAGATGAAAAGAGAGCAAAAAACAATTATGATAACTGTGAAGATCATTTACAGCATGTGTGATTAAAAAAATGTGATAAAACACAAAGCAAGTCCCTTATGTTCTCAAAGCTTGCATGCATGACAGAAATACAATACTATAGTCAAATATTACACCTTTGGGGATTGACAATAGGGCCTGCGTAATTGCATAGAGCCAGCATAAAAGTCCTGCTCAGAATAAAACAGTCATTGTAATTGTGCAGTAATTGTGCAAAAATACTATTAAAACAGTAACTTCAACACTGAAACTATTTTTAATACTTTAGCTGAGTTTTAGCTATTGACAACTTGTGTCTCCAAATTTGTGTAAAATGATTTAGTCCTTTTTGATATTTTGATTTGATTTAAAGAATCATTGTTGAATCAATGTATATATTTTTTATCATTTATTAAGCCCAAACATTTGAATGGTAGTATACATGAACAATGCCAACCTTGCTGCTGGAATGCCATGTGAAATGCAGACTGTTAGTGTCACTGGGCACTGGTAGGACGAAGGACAGGGCATAGTGATTGACCACATCATCCCTCACATAGTACAACTCAGCATCAAGACCTACAGGGAGAAGAAGAAAAAAGAAAACATGATAAAGCTAATCAGTTCTGTAAAAAAATGTAATAACCCCCCTGTTGTATTAGAAATCCTTATACACCGTTTTACCTTTGGGTCTAAAATGACCCACCTTTAATAAACCTCTAAAATCAAGCACCTAAAGTATATTTTTGCATAAAGAAACAACCTCATTCATCACAAACCCTGTGAATGTCTAGGGTTTCCCTCATTAGTGTGCAGTGTTTCATCAATGTTTAATTGGGGGCACCACACATTTTTCTGTCTCTGGTGTTCCTAGAGTGTGTATGTTAAGTTTAAGCTCAAAATACCACACAAATAATGCTTTAGAACTCTTTAAAATTGCTCCATGCTTTGATCCAAATTATGCCATTTTTGTGACTGCGCTTTAAATCCAAATGAGATTTTTCTCCCAGCCCTTTTATTAAAAGAGGGCGGAGCTAAAAATGCCTGTGTGTCAGCATAGTCGCAGATTCAAGACCAATTTTCTATGCTAATGACGGAGAGAATGTCAGTAATGGGCAGGGCATTCTCCCTGCAATAGCATGTATAAAGGGAATAGAAAACGGAAAAAAGTCTTAACATTGGAATAATTTTAGAAAACGTCATGTAGCGATGAACATTAGAAGAAAATTTGCCAAAACTGTAAAGTAATGTTAGGAAATTTAGGAGTATGTTTAATACAATTAAAAATGTTGAATAGTTTTTGTCTGAGTAGGCTTTTCAGGCTTGGGTTGAAAAACTGGAGATGTGAGAGCGAAACGGGACTTAATGCATGCATGTCCTGTTTTGAAATACAGAAACTCTGGGTTAAAGTGCAGTATTATTGTACATTCAGGATGTTTCTGGGTGCTGCTTTTCGTTTTGTCCTAAAGTATATGTACTGGGAGACCTGTTTGTGTTTTGGTCTGGTGTGAAAATGTCTGAGTGGATTCTAATAAGTTTTATGATGGGAAGACAAATCATTATGAGGGGATGACGTTCAGCAGGTCCACCATCATTTCAAGAATAAGTTACGGAATTGAGGAAGGTGGCAGCTATAGGCATGGGCCGGTATAAGATTCTGACAATATGATAAACTTAGATTTAAAAAAAAAAATAAAAATCACGGTTACACTGTATTGTGAATACTGCTCTAAAATCTGTTCCTTTTAAATGTAAAAAACTATTATTTTGAGAAACTTTTAAAATATTTTGTAAAAGTAAACGTCAGGCTAAATAATTTAAATACATCTTTGACCTCTGCTGTCTTTATTTGTTTCAAAAACATTTTATTATTATTATTTTTTTTACAATTTTAAACAGCAACTTTGGATATCTTTTCTGTTGGAGATACTGTTGTTCTAAAAGACGTAAAACAAAGGGAAAAAAAAACCTTACATATACCATAGGAATGGTATAGCAGAATATTTGCCGGTAACTGCAGTATACCTTGAAAACTGTTATCATTCCATGCCAAGTAGCAGCATATGAAAAAATAAACATAGATTACTTGATAAAATGGATGGTTGTCAGAGAAGATGGGGAAACTATTTGGCATTAACAAAGGATGAATAAGTTCACCGTAGTGAGACGCGCAGTAAAAATTTTATTATATTATTTGATTAATGTATGTATTATTATTATTGTATTGTTTTTTTTTTACAATTTGACTGTACAATTTGACTATTATTATTTTCTGTATGTGTGTTTTATTTATTGAGTTTATATTATTTATTTGTATTTACTGAATTTAGGATAGCAACATCTAATTAACTGTAACTGCCGCAGTTGGGGAGGGGAGGGGAAAGTGGGCATTTAAAGAATGTAAAAATGTGTAAACTGATGGTACTCCTAAATTAATGAAGAAAATACAAAATTTAAATAATAAAAAAAGAAAAAAGTCACCAAGCTTCAAGATGAAATTTATGTTTTGTTTTGGCTGCTAAAATAGTTATTTTTGAACTGTAAGTCAACAGGAGGGTTAAACATCTTTTCAAATTCATTGAACCACTCTCCCTCAAGAAGAGTAAAATATAATTTCATACTTCTAGATTCTCATATGAACTCTGTATTTCGCCATAAAAACACCCTATGTGCTCATTTTGGCTTAATGTATTCTACAGCGCCTGGAAGTATATGGTGCGCGAAGAAAGTAACCATGGCAACAATACATAAAATACATTCTTTCAATGTGGTGACCAACCACTGTCTGACATATTCCTCTTCCTGACAGGAAACAGTGAGGTCTGTATCTATTATATCATGGAGAGCAATATGAAATATGATTGCTATTTCCGATCAGGAGGATATAAGTTCTAATAAGCTCAAGATTTCAAACTGAGATTCACAAGAATGCTTCCCATTAAGCTGTTGATGGGACCTGTGAAACTACCCTGACTGCCGCCCAAATATTGACCACAGTTCATTCCTCTCTCTCTCTCGCTGTCTCTCTATCCTGTCCATTAGGAATGGCTTTTATCCTTTATAATTGAGAACAATATCCACAGACAACACCTCCACCAAACAGTAAAAGTGTAGTATGTTTATATTTAAGTGTTTCACCCCTTTTTATCGTCAAAGCAAAACATCTCTGCTCACCCCTGCCTAGCCTCTGCTTTTTTAACAACACTAATCTAAACAGTGTTTCCTTCCCGGCTACATTCCTGGGAGAGATTCAACCTGAAAAAAAACACCTTCTTTCAAACAGCACGGCACACCTGTGAACCTAGTTGTACTGCATCCAGCCTTCAGTAACAAGTGGAGAAAGGCAAAGATGATTAACATGAGACCGAGCACTAAAGTGAAGGTTGATTCCCCACATGAATGAGACATGGAGATGTGTGAAGCTGATTGACAGCTGGAATCTCCTGTTATGCCTCGAGGCAAACCTTATCACCACTGAAAGGCCCCGCTGTGGCTGACTGGAGCCTATCAGTCTGTCAGGGGACCTGCTCAAACATCAGGGGGATGGGAGTACACAAACCCTTGCTACAATATAGCTATGATTTTTTTTTTTTTTTCGTGATAGCTGTATGCCCTTAAAAACTAAATTAAATCAACTGACTACTACACAAAAGTTTGGGATCAATACAGTTTTCGTTATTGAAGCAAGTGTTCTGTTTACCAAAGCTGGAATTTTCTGATAATAAAAATGCTGTACAGATTTTCAAAATATCAGTTTTTCTATTCAAAAGATTTCCAAATGCAAGTTATTCAGTTTATTTTATTTTTATTTATTTATTTTTTGGACAATAAATAAATCAATTAAACTCAAAACACCAGCATTTACTTCAAACAAATCATCTGAAACACAAGTCTTTACTGTCGTTTATTTCAATAAAAATGTGTCTTTGCTAAATAATAAAAACAAAAGTGGAATTACTGAAAAGCTTTTTTTCCAAAGTTATAATGTAAAATGATGAGTTGTCCATTGTAAATTGGGAAATAAGCATAAAATCAAAACTCAATTTTGATTTCATTTTAATTTTTAATTTCATTTAAGATTTTTTGGATGGAAAAACTTTGGGAATCTGTAGATAGATTGTTTTGTTCCGAAACAGGGATTACAATTGTTACTATGTTGCACTTTGCTCTTTGGTGCGGTACACTTTCACACTGCAAAGTTACTAAACAGACCAAAATAGCTAAAACAAGTCACGTTTGAGTAAACTCTCCATTTGTCAGATTTCCTCAGTTTATTTTTAAGAGTCCCGCTCAGCTGTTATGTGTCCTTATCTTAAGTTATGACAATGAGCAATAAGACATTATAAGCGAAAAGCTGCGCTTTAATTTGAATGGTGGTGACACCCACAGAAGTAGTCAACAAATATAAATCAGTAGTAAAACTCTCTACAGTTGAAGTCAGAATAATTAGCCCACCCTGGACTTTTTTGTGTGTATATATATATATATATATATATATATATATATATATATATATATATATATATATATATATATATATATATATATATATTACCCAAATTATGTTTAACAGAGCAAGGACATTTTTTTACAGTTTGTCCGAAAAAGTCTTATTTGTTTTATTTCAGCTAGAATAAAAGCAGTTTTTATTAAACATTTTAAGGTAAAACATTATTAGCCCCTTTAAGCAATATATATTTTTTCGATAGTCTACATATAATTACACTTTAAATAGAGAGAAATAATAGATAAACCAAGACTGCAGTTTGGTCAATTTTCCTAACTGATAAACAGCTCTCGTTAAAATTTTAGCATGCTTTCACTTTCATATTTGACATCAAATGCACATTTACCAGTAGAAATGATGACATCTTACCCTACACATAATTCTCATTCATATAGCCATATATGCCTACTATATATCCATAACACTCTGTGAAATAGCCTGGTTTGTTAGATCATATTGCTTTCTCACTACAAACGAACTGCTCCAGAGTTCATTTTAATCTAGCTGAGACCACCTTAATCAGACAATCACGGACCGATTATTTTAGAGCAGATCCGAGCACGATTGCTGGATTCAAATATGCCAAACAAGCCACGCTAACTAGAGTAATGCGCCAGGTTCCGAAACATAAGTCTAGGTGTGAAAGCACCCTTAACTGTTTTATGTTCACTCCACCTAAATTTGTTAAAAAAAACTCAGGTCAATGTAATCCATTTGCATTGGGACAACAAAGGAATTGTTGAAACCAGCATGCTTTAATCTTGTAATCACTTGTCATTTTTAAATTTCCTCATCATTTAGTTACATTCATTGGGCTTAGAATGGGAAAATGTACTTCCATAGTGGGAAAATCAAATACTATGAAAGTCAATGGCAACAAGTTTAAAGTTTTAAATATCTTCTTTTGTATTCAACAGAAGAAAGAACTGAATGTAAACAAGTTCTTCTTTGGCAGTGGGAAGGATAATAAAACAGAAAGAGTTACCAGAAGGCACGTGTACAGTGTATAGGCCTGCCCACCTATGGAGAAAATAGGTTGTGTGGTCCCCAAAATAGACGCATTCAAGATGCA